TATTTGTTACTTGTTGTCTATTATTTACCGGTTGCTAAACAAATGTATACTGTCTCGCTACTTATTGTACCGTTGTAAAATTTGTATACAAAGTACTGATAATCGTTTAGAAAAACGATTTATTATTTATTTTGTACTTGTTTTTGCCAAATAAGAAATTATAAATTAATTATTTGTGAAATTATCGAAACAGATTTCGTTTAAATAAAACATCTTAGTGTTTATTTACAATTAAAATCAAATGTTTGTTTATTATTTACTACGAATTCTTTGAATACAAATTTTTCCAACACTTCTAGTATTCCAAAGTTTAGAATCACTTCCTAATTCATGAAAAGTAGAAATGCTCCTGTTAAACAAGCAGACTCAAGTAACCATACGTAATTACATTCATCAGAAAAGAATCAAAAGTTCAGAAACCATTGCTTTCAAGTGTTAAATATACCTGGTCTGAAAAACCTATATTAATAACAATCTGCAAGTGATTCTGATCTACATCAGTCTTCACGATAAATTGACTTTCATTAGAATCCCATATCTCTTTTACTAGATTATCCTTATTCAGTTCAGTATATCCCTCTATTAAACTTTCTTATGACCGCCACCGAATATCCCGTGAAGTTATTTTAAGAGATTGCTAACCCTCAAAGACCACATTATATTATTGTGGAGCAGAACGTTCTTTTGCCTACATCTTAAATACATAAGTAATTTAGTCACAAATCTTTCGATAAAACACCACAGCTCTAACTTCCCACCCTTTACTGTTCAGAAATGTCCGGTGCCTTCCCGAAGGACTGGGTCACCGTAATCCAGAGATGGGCAAAATCACTACTGAGATAAAGAGTTTCGAATAAAACATCAAAAAACTAGTTCGTCATTTTTAATCGTTTAAACGTGGAAATTGCAATTTTTATAATAAAATAATACTTCTTAAATGAGTCGACATTTGGCAAACAATTACTTAATCATATTAACTGTTTAAAGCTCAGAATGACGCCCACAGATACTGTAGCTGTTCACTATGTATTATTCGAATAAAATTGTGCCCAACACCGCCGTAACCCAATGTGGTCTTCGAGGATTAAAACATCGAAAAACCCCAAAGTTCCAAGCGCGCGATTTCACAGTACCAAAAGTCGGATACGGTGTTTCATACTCGAGGTGCCTCGACTTCGGTCGGATACACTGAACGAGCATGTTTTAAAAGCAATCGTCGAACTCACCGAGAGACGGTCCCATAACGTCTTCTCGAGACGATCGGTTCAGACTCCGTCGACTTCCCTGTGCATGCTTTTCGTGGCTAAACGTCGAATATTTTTGTTTTTCTATTTTTCTTTCTCTTTCACCCGAACATGACAGAACTCGCGGCGACGACGACGAAGGACTCACACGCAATCCGCACGAGCGTCGTAATAATTTCTTTACTCGGGCCGGCAAGTAACAACAATCAACGACGACGCTCCCGTCCGAGCGGGTCTCTCGAAATCGCGCGCGTGAACGAGCGACGACGAGCGAGGGTCGTCGCCGTTTGGCCGGGAAGAGCGACCACCCCGCTGTATATCTTCCCTTTGATGCCACGTGCTGAATCCAACGGGCGCCGGGGAAAGAGCGACGAAGAGGGATGAACCGAGGAACAGAGAAGGACAGGACGGGTGGACCACGTCGGCGCGAGACGTCGCGACGCCCACACCGGGCGCGACGCGCGCGCGCTCGCGACAGGGGGAATCGTAGGAGAAAAACCACCCCTCTCGATCGTTCGATCGCACGCGGCATCGATCCCCGCGAAGATGTACACGCGTGGCGCGCTTCGGACATCGATGAAGTTTCGAGGGATGATTTGACATTGGACGACCTTTCCTATTTTAGCATCTTAAAACATTGCTTGTCTTCGACATTTTTATGAAAGTGGAGACACCCGTGAGGCAGAGTTGGGCAAATTTTATTTCGACTAACGAATAACGAATAAAGTCCCAGGATTTATTTGCGAATAACGAATAACAATTTTATTCAACGAAAAATTATTCGTTAGTCACGAATAAGTCCTTATTCATTAGTCACGAATAAGTCCTTATTAGTTAGTCACGAATAAGTCCTTATTCGGTATGCCCGAATAAGTCTTTATTCGTTACTCATTATTCACGAATAAGTCTTTATTCGTTATTCGTTATTGGATATTCTGAATAACTTCGCAGCGAATAAAAGTCAGGAATAAAAGCGACACCGCTTCCCATTCATGGATAGGAACCCAAGGAGTACGATGTGGTAAGGGGAACCCTTCTCGACATAGAGATTGATGATTGATGCGCAGCTGGTGCATGCCGATAGTGCGTGTCCCCGATGATGTAACCTTTATTCGCTGGTTTCTTCGAATAAATTCTTATTCGCTGGTTCTTCCGAATAAATTCTTTTTGCTAAGGAAAAACTTGTTTCAAATCACCCCACGAGTCTCCCATTTCCGGGCCCTCCAACATTTTTGTTACACCCTGTACTTAACATGTACGCTGCGTATGTCGCCTATGGACGACATGTGCGTCTATAAACGGGAGCGGGTGTCGCACATGGGCGATATCCGTCTACTGCGTTTCATTTCGCCAGTATGTTATTCTTGGTACTACAGTTATCAAACACTGTCAGACACATGACAAGAATGAGAACAAAAACAGTTAAAAATATTTCTTTGTTATCTTATAATTCTTCCTTGAGTTAATAAATAGTAATCATTTAGTATAAATTAATTCAGCTCCCTGGGAACATCAGTAATTTTATACATAGTCGTAGCGAACGAGTTTAGGGGAGATTCTTGTGTAATCTAAGGTAAAATTAATCCTTTCGGTTTAATAATTATACGATACTTTTACATCTTTCAGACTACTGACTATAATGTACCTCAAACCAATAGTTTCAAAGCAATTTGAATATATTAAGTTATTGAATAATAAATGTCATTTTTCAACGCCCCTCATTTTGTGTACCTACCTAAGAAAAGTGTTAAACATGGGACCAAGAAACTTGTGACACGTTGGTAAGAATCTATCGATTAAAATGGATCTTTCTTCGATTAAAAATTGTCTGTTCGAAATAAAAGATAATCGTTCGAACTCTACAGTTCAAAATCGACACTTATTATGCAATAGCCTAACAAGAAGATGCCCACATTTTCGATATTTTTTTCATTCAAGTCTTCGTAAAATTAAACAAGCCCTATTCGCAATGAAAAACTGCCTGTTCGTGGAATATTCGATTCTGTTCTAATTGCATGGTTTCGACGTTTCGACCCATAAAAGGCCCGCTAATTTGAACGATAGTTTCAAACGATAGATTCATCCAAACCAGTGACAGAAGTTGAAAATGCTCTGACTTTATTAAGCGTAACTCGATCGGCTCGTAAACTTTGTCCGCGTCCCATTAACTAATTGTTTTCGCAACGTTATGGTTTCCCCGGTCTCGGTAAGTTATGGAAACGAGGCTGGCCGGTGCATCGGATATCGCGCAATTCGATTTCCTACGTCTTCGAGTCCCTCCGTTGCTTTTTACCCCGCGTGCTCCGAAAGAACAATGAAGTATCCTACTTTCCATTCGTAATGGCGATCCTTGCAAATATTTTTAGAGTATCTTCCTCGAATTAATTAAATCTACTGTATACTACTTTTTATATATATTTCATTATACATTATGCATTAACGAATTGATGAAACAATCGATTCAAAATACACCCCTGGAAGTATTTATTGCACTAATCATATATTTCATGTATTTAATATTAACTTTATTCTTACGACGAAACTACGGATTTTATGTAAAATACGATGAAATCAAATCCTTAGTAAAGTGCAACGAAATTTTTATATTACTTTAAATTCAATATCAATTTCTGTAGAATAAATCATTTTCTGTTTCGTTGCAACGGTTAGAACTTATTGTTAGTGCTCAAATACATGAATTTGCATAAACTCCTGCGTTTAGTTATAACAAAACTTGAAATTAATCTTCTGTGGGCGAACGGTACAGATACAAACGGGACACAGTGAGCGTATGCAGGATTATTTTGATCTGTAGTTCCTTAATAAAATTAACGTAGATGTTGCCATTCAAATTTCCATTGGTAAAATGAGGACCAATAATTTTATCACCTGTGATACCGCACCATACGTTCACATACCATTGTCTCTGGTATTCAACCTGCCGTAACCAATGTGGATTTTCTGCTAAATGCATGTTATGTAAATTAACATTCCCGTGATTTGTGAATGTTGCCTCATCAGTAAATAACACGGTATTAAGAAATAACTCATTGTTTTGGATCTGATGTTTAGCCCATCGACAAAATTCAACACGATTTATGTTAATAAACTTTATTCAAATCATTATTTTAGTACGTTTTGTGGGTTAACAAATACTATAAATACATAAACACATGCATTCTAGTAGTAATATTTGGTAGTGAATGTTTTTAGAACAAATAGATAACAAATTAGAAGATCATAAATAATTGTATTTTTAATTGTTTAAAATTTTATTCCTTATTATAGATATTTTATATAAATGATATGTACAAAAATTAATTATTTTAAAAAATTTGATCAGTTTTATCATTAAACGTAAAACTAATGCTGATAAGTGGTGTATATATTGGAAAATATGTACATACATATTAGGAAATACAACATTTTAGCCAAGAGATCATTGAACTCGTAAATAACAAAGTCCGATCAAGCTATAGTCACGTATATACATATACATGTAATGTTCAACATATTTAAATTTTTACTTAATAATAAATAATAAAACGAAACCAAAGGGTGAATATTAATAACAAAAACATTTATTACTCTAGTTGTATTTTTATCCTTACGTATATTTAACGAGTAATTAAATAACAATAAAGTTAACAACTTTTTGACCTTTAGATAAACCAAACTCTTGTTAAAACTTGAAACTGGTTATGTAAATATCCATTGTAGAACGAACTTGAATCGCGTTCTTTTTCATTTGTGCAGATTCTGTAAAGGACGTCAAAGCGAACATTCACAGAAAATGTCTAACAATCTTCGTTTTACAAGGGAAAACAAGTTTCTGACATGGGAGCAACGACTGTTTTACGAAAAAAATGGTTATTTGGTATTCCGTCGTCTTGTGCCGCAGAACATCCTAAACCATTGCCACGAAAGGTACGTTAATAAATAAAAAAACAATTAGTGTAATATAATCCGTGAGAAGTGATATTAAAAATAATTGTGACATATCTATGTTTCTATATTATAATCAATTTAAAGAGCTGTCACTAGTTTCCCAGCGAAATTTCGATTTTATCATCGCTAATCAGCGCACGCACAACGGTTACACATTTCTGTATTAATTATAATTTAGTAATATCATGAGCTCGGGATTTAAATTATCAATCTTGTTACTATGTAACTCAAACGAAATTGTTACTAATAGTGCCCGCCTCGTTAATACTTTTAACTAAAAATCCTCCTATTGAGTCTATAAGTAAATTTTTGCGTTTTAAATTTATTTTCATTAAAGAGACTTTATTGTTGACATGATTAAATTGTACATACTTCATAGTATCTATTATTTACTTTAATAACTATTATGAAATTTAATTATTATTGTTATTATTACTTAAATGTTTAGTCAATTTCAACACAAATAAAAATATTTATAATATTTTACCATCACTAATAATAACAACAGTTAAATGTCATTACTAATTATATGTAGTCATTAAATCAAATAATATTGAAAAATCTACATTTATCGATGAAAATTGAAAAACTATATTTTCCTTTATCACTGATGTATATAATTATTTTAACAAAATGTAAGGAATACGTAGTTGTAACTCTTCAAGGACATAAAAAAGTATGCCAAATGCACATATACATACGTATAAGTTAAGCACAAATAAGAATAATAAATATACATAATATTCACAAAAATTAATTTGTTTCTTAACTTTTATCGGTAAGCGTAAAACTGCATAATGTTAATCGTGAAACGTCTTTGATGAAGATAAACTTTGAAATTGTGTATGACTGATAAACCAAAAACGTCGTATTATAGCGGGACACGTTATCAGTGTTTTTTGTCTCGAGCGTTTTCATAGACAATTATGTACCTTTTCAGGTTCGACGGCATCTTGGCTGGCAAAGTTCCACACAATGGGATGACCGTAATGTACGACGTGAAGGACAGAAAATCCGTCAATAAAGTGCAGGACTTAGCACACGACAAAGTTTTCCGGGAATACATCGAGTATAAAAGTGTCCTCGATATTGTGGAAGCCATCACCGGGCCAAACATCATGGCCGTGCACAGTATGCTGATCGCGAAACCACCCGACATCGGATTCGGGACTTCCAAGTAATATCGGCTCGCTTTTTTTCTGTTACTGAATACGAGAACATCCAATATTACCGATTCCTTTCCCTCCCAGATCTCTTTCTTGCCTATACATATTTACGTTTTCGCATTCCCAACTTCATGTTTTGTGTACTATAAATTCTCTTTTGCTAAAGCAGGTGCACGCGAACTAACTTATTCGGAGTAATAGATTTTCGATAAATTTTGCTTTGCATCACCTAACCAGGAAATGAATACGAGGTGTGACAATAAAGTTTCAAGAATACTTCATTTAAAAATTATATTTCAAAAATTAAACAGAGGTGAGGTCATCGCCTTCAAGGTACATATCTACATATGTAGCATATACCCTTAAGACTGTAGACGCGTTACCAGCGTTGGATCCATTGTTCGTAACATTTCTGGTACTCACTTCCTGGTATCGGTTCTAATACCAGTGTTCTGTTACGAAGTGTGACAATAAAGTTTCATAAATAATTTTCTTATCGTCAAAGTGAATGTAACTATTTACATTGTCGCCACTTTGATGGAAACAAAATTATTTGCGAAACTTTATTTTCACACCTCGTATATCAGGATTTATCGTATTTGAAGAAATTATATTGACTTTATGTTAAGTAGTTTAACTCTATTCTATAATTCTGTTCTGTATTCTACAGGGAACTAATGTTCGGATAATCGAGAGATCGGTAAAAAACCCGCATTAGGTCCTTTAACACGTTCGCTACTGCAATTTCTCTTACGCACTATTTTTGCAGACTGTAGTGTCCATAGTTTATTTAATAAAATCTATTTCCTTTACTAAATATTTCTAAAATGCATTACGAGTTTAAACAACAATACACTTAAATTTTGTTCAGTTTTTCTATCGAAACACAGACAATAAGGACTTTCACACATATCCTACTACTGTTGATAAGATTTAATCTTTTCCATTTAACATTTCACTCTGAAAATTTTCGAAAAATGATCATGAATTTTGCTTGCCTTATGGTCCATATTGTGGAAGAAATTTGACATATTCTTTGGTAAAGTGAATCTAATATAGCTGAGCAAGTACATACTTACGAGGAGTGCTGTATGTATTGATAGTGCTTTTCGAATTGCAATTTGGACCCCAAAGAAGGATATACGTTTTTCGGGGAGTCAATTCGAACACGCAAGCAGATTTTTGTCGATCCTCGTAGGATCCGGTGAAATACATACATGCTTTCCTTCCAGGCACCCGCCCCACCAAGACTTGTATTACTTCCCGTTCCGGCCGGCTGATCGGATAGTGGCGTCGTGGACTGCCATGGAACCGTGTTTTCCTGAGAATGGATGTCTTTACGTGTCTCCTGGCACGCATGCACAGGATCGTTTGCACAAACACGACTATCCCCCGGGAGCGGAGCCAGGATCTGTCAACAAATTCTACCACGGCATCCTGGTACGAGTTCGAACGCAGTCTATCACCTCAAATCACGACATCCACCTATCGTTTTTCTATTTTGAAAGGACCTTTCCGAGCCGACGAACTGGGTACACCTTGAAATGGAACCGGGTGACACGGTATTCTTTCATCCTCTATTAATTCACGGGTCCGGCGTAAACATGTCAAACAGAACGAGACGGGCCATTTCTTGCCACTATGCAGCGGCGGAGTGCCATTATATCGATGTGAGTTTTAGATTGAAAAAATGGCGTTATCCACTTTTTAGTGGGAACACCACGTTACAGATATAGTCCACCACTGCTAATATAGAAGATATCATATATTTGATACACATACAGTGGTGTCGTTATAATTATAGGGTCAATGCAATTTTTACGAAGTTCTCTGAAATAGGAAAGTGAGCTATAAAAGATAATTATTTTTTATTTTTATATTTAGTTTTATTTTCATTTTAAATACCAAACTATCTGCTGTAAAATCATTCGATGGGACTGTGAATAAATACAGGTTTAGTACATGTATTTATTTAGTTGTTACACTTTAATTCAGAACGGTGGCTTGAACTAGCAAAAACGTAAAAAAGCAGTTGTGCCTTAGCGTAATGAAAAAAGGCTCATTGTTGTCATCATTACATAAATTATAAACAATGCCACGAAGCCGAGAACTTTCAGAACAATCATGAAATTCCGCAGTGGAAAATTGCAATTGTTTTACACAGATCTCGGAATGTAGTTATAATTTTTTGAGAAAAAGAAAGGCAAATTAGGGACAGAAAATACATTCCGACAAATTGTCGGAATTTTCTTCTACCCTTAAACGGCTAGTGCTAAATAGAAAAAGTACGCGACTAGGGGCTTCATTGAACAATGATTTCAACTACATAGAATGTGATCCAAGATTAATAAGAAGTTGATTGGTAAAAAGAACAGGCACAAATACCTTAAATATTTAAAGCAACCGCCTCTCGACAAACGTCACATCGAGTTCCGTTTGACTTTTACGAAAGAGTTCGTTTCATAGTCAGAAATGTGAGATGTGTGCAAATTCGATGGCGAAAAAAATTCAATCTTGGACGGGCTTAATGGCTTTAATCAATATTGGCATAACTTGAAAAATAAAAGAAAATCTCATCTCGACGTCTAGCGGAGTGACGGCATGTACATCAATTAAATTGGGTGGAAAACCAAAAATAACAATCATAAATGGCAAAATAAACACAAAGACGTTGTACTTTGTTAGAAGAGTATTTATACCATTTATAAAGATGGTGGAGGATGACATTGCAATCTGTCAGCAGGACAATGCTCCAGTACATGTTGCTGCTACCACCAAAAACTGATTTCATCAATACACAATGAAACCTTTGGAGCCGCCATATCAAAGCCCGAACCTCAATTCAATAGAGAACGTTCGGGCAATATTGACATGAAAAGTCTATAACAAAGAAAAGCCAGAAATTCATACAAAACACGAACTCTAATTAAGTATTCAATAGAAAAACATTACACAGAATACTATAAGATAACTTAATTAACAGTACCTATTCCACAAAGACTAATCAATATAATAAAAAACAAAGGACGTTCGACAGAATATTAAATAAAACTTTTAAAGTAAACTGCAATTTTTAAACGTTTTAGAAAGTCCTTATCAAAATCTTCGTGCATACCTTTTTCATCGAAACAAAATAATATGTAATTTATATACCTCATAACGTAACTTGCCTATAGTTGATGTAAATAGCAATCAAAGAACACTATCAACAATAAAAACACCATTAACGTTAAACCTACCGAACCCCTCAGAAGAGTAGAAATTAGAACGGCAAAACCGGTCATTTGACCGGTCATGTGGTGGGTATATTAATTCCACGGTTTATTGGAACCTATAATTATTCACAGTACTGTAAATATATAAAACATTCAGCTGAACGGAAAATTTTTGCGTTTGTTTATTATTAGGTATGTTGGGGTATTTCAGAGTAGTTGTTGGTAGTGTTTCAAATTATACTGCAATGTTAAATATTACGCAAAAATTGTGTATCTCTGGGAAGGGAGAGGAGGGGGCCAAAATCCAATTTTGTTCTTGTGGTGTGAGGCAAAAGCCACTTTTTTCCATCCAGGGGGAGGTGAGCATGTGCCCCCCTGGCTACGCCCATGCTCACGGCACTGCAACGACAAAACAGCTTGCCCCGCAACCCCTCCAGCGAGAGGTTCACCCTGTATATCTGTACATACATATGTATACTGTGCTTTCACTTCTTTATTTACCTGGTCGAGGTTGCGTTTGGGCCTAGCGGTCGTGCACATTTGGTGACCGTATTTTTACAGACCTTGTTATACGCTCACCTGTCCTTACTACCTCGACGCTTTCTCCGAGTCTTCCCGCATTTTCAGTACCGTCACTTGCACACTCTATTTTTTTTTTACTGTGTCTATCCGTGTCTTTTTAATTCTTTTTTAAACTTATGCAAACCTACACAAAAGAACAGGCTGTGATAGTTTTGAGTCCAAAAGCGACACGTTATTCTGTCACGCATACGATCCTTCTTGTTATTCTATTTGTTGAAATAAATTACGTCGTCTACTAATACCCAACATTCACCTCACCCCCCATGCCATTATTCCAGCTTTGCTTACCTCAATAGGTCATCACTGAATTCATCGTTGTTGACCTTAAAAAACTTTGGAAATGGAACAATAACATACTTCTTTTATCCCAACATACTCTATGATAAATATGGTATAAATTTTTTTTCAGTCTTTTCATAAAATAAATAGTTTAAGCGTTTATCGTGGAACACCTAATACATTTCAGATTACTTGTAATGTACAGGTAACCGACACAGTCCAGAAGGGTATCGGCAAAGAGATCATAGATCACGTGCGTAAAATGTCACCCGGTGTCGAAGTCTGCTACGAAGACATATGGCGTTTCAAGGCCAGCCTCGTACGCGGAATTCAATCGTCCCTATGAAGAAGATCGTACGCTAAATTTGATTTGTATTTCAAGGTGGTTGCACGTGCGAATAATAACTAATTGACATCAAAGCGTGATAGTTGCACGGTAGTAACATCGTGTCGTTGTTCGGGTATACGATTAGGCAGATGGGAGAGAGAAGGGTAAGTAACGGCATGACAGAAAAAGATGCAACGACAACAGGGTTGTCGCCATTATTATTTATAGAATCAGTATCACGCCGATGTCTTTGATGAGAATACGATGGTTGAAACGTGTAACAATGTTTCGAATGTGGATCTTTGTAGGTATTCTCGTAGCGAACACTCGCACTGGAGGTGCGACACGCCGCCAAGCAAACCTGGAAGCGGTCTAAATTGCGGAGGCGTTTCTTCACCGCATCTTGGTCTCTATGCACCTTATGGTTGTCTCTAAGCAATCCTAACAGCATATCCTTTCTTCCTTTTATTTGCTGTTGATAACGGTCTCTTATTAATGACTTGAACCATAACTTTAGTACATTTATAGATGGGACTTCTTATAAGCGTCAGACGCGCGTGTTGCTTCTGAACTGGTATTGAAGCAATCGATACTCAAACATCACATGTGAAACACAATTGCATAGAATAATATACTCTCATAGATCTCAGTCCGTCTAGATGCACACAACACATATGTCTACACTAGAGATCCCTATTTCACGTGTATTTCGCGTATACGTATCTTAGTACGTGTCATTTTAAGTACACGGGTACACGTGTACTATTTCACATATATTTATAGACACGTGTATTAACGTATCTGTACTTTGATTCGTCTTCATTTTTAGGATACAGTTACTAATTTTCGAAAGCAAACTATGGTTATACAAAATAGATACAAAAGTAAATTCTAAAACTAAATATCCGCACAATTCACTGAACAAGTTTTGTTAATAAAAATGATATTTTAATATATTATTGTATCAACAACCTCGAAACTTGTGAAACCATAGTAAGAATTAAAATAAAGATGCATTGATGCACAGGTAACTAAATATACATGTATTTAAATGTAGATGAAATACTTAAAATGACACATACTGACATACATGTATGTGAAATAAACGTTGAAAACCATTATCGCCAGTCTACACGCACGCGGCTGACGCTGACAAAAAATCATAGATTAAAAGAATTTAAAAACCACCTTGCCAGGATGTAAGCAGCAGGAGACACAATATTCATAAATTGCACAGCACCCATGGTCATTACACGTTTTACAACTATACCTCTCTCTCTTTACCATGGACTTTTCTTCATTTTTCAGTAGATCCTTTTGCTCTATAGTACAGCAGCCATTTGGCAGAATATCTTGTCTAGCACAGACAATACCTCGCTCATCAACTATTAGAACTTTTCCCTAGTAAAATAAAATGATTAATGAATTTATTTAAAGAAAAGCTACACCTAAAGTAAATTGAACAGTATAATATACTTGGACAGAATTACGACACGGCTGAGTTACAATGTCGCTGTCATTTAAGTTAGATATTGCTTCCATATTTAATGCGTTATCATTTGCCTCTTGATCAAGTTCAGCCTGCCACAATGGTGGCTTACCAGACACTTTTAATTGATCCAGCAATACCTCATCATCGGAAATCAGATCATCATTATTGTCATTAACCATCATAGCATCCATATCGTCAAGATCATTATCTAAAGCTAATGTTTTTCTCTATGGATGAAATATTATAGTCTAAGTTATAGGTCAGACGTAGATTTTTATATTAGTAATTTACCTCGTTACGAAAAAGCGAAAAGGCGCAGTAGGTGAGCGACAAAGCAAAGATCAGTCCAAGTACGAGGCGGCGTCTAATGATTCTGAACAGACCACCACAACTCAGCATCCTTTCCACTTTTTGCAATGCACTCTCTCGTAATTTCGATCGACATTAAATCCCTTGGTTAGTTTTCTAGCACATGATTGCGAGATGACTGACAGCACAAAGTATCTTCATTAAATTCTTTATTTAGTAAGATTCAATGATTCAGGAAATGTCTATTTAGTCATCGCAGCGCGATAAAATGCTAATCGAGCAAGGAAAAATGTTCAAATATGACATAACCGTAACAAAAACAATAAGGTAAAAGACAGAGAGAGAGGTTATGTTGTCCTTCTGACAATCTCACCGCAAACATTTGTGAAGCGCTTACCGATTTCAGTGCGCAAATGATAAAATTGCTACTGCATGCATGAACCTCGTATCGATTTACTGCACATTTAATCGGAAAAACTAAAATTTTCTTTTTCCTAAATTACAAATTTATCAAAATTCTTTACTCAACGCGTGAAGAACAACACAAGTGCGTTGACCCGTTCAACGTGCTCGACAGGCATTAGAGTTAGAGTACGTGATTCAATGTTAGATGTCACTGCTTATCAAATGAATAGTTTTCATAAAATATTCACAACAAATGATACTGTTAACTTTTTCAAATGCAAGTTGTTTGTAAACTTTTCACTTTTAAGTCATGACTTCTATCTTTTTAAATTAATTTGTTACACTATCACTTTAGCCAACTTACAATTAATCAAATCACAACTTGTCCATTTCAACTTATGTGCTTTGTTAACTATGTAACAATTTCTTTCGTCATTTTTTGAAATCATAAGTTTTTTATAGCAGAGTAAACGTTTTTGTTTAATACCAACTTTTTTGTTTACATCCGATAAGTATTTAAATAATTGTTTCAACATTTTATAACTCTACAACAATAAACAAAATTATTGACATTTCAAATACAATTGCAAATTTTAACAGTTTCATTTAATTTTTAGTTTTTATCCATAAATATTCGGAGGCATTTCTGAAATGTATTTGGGAATATACATATTAATTTTAAAAAATTATGCGAATATCAATACAAAGTCATAAAATGATAATAACGAAACATATCCTGAATTTGCAATTAAATTCACAAAAATATTATAAAATAGTATGTTTTATGATTATCTGGTATTGTATACATTATTTGTATTATTTTTATAATGATGTGGTGCATGGACTATTTGTATTATTTTTATAATGACGTGGTGCATGGATTATTTGTATTATATTTATAATGGTGTGGTGCATGGACTATTTGTAATTATTATAACAAAAAAACGTATGACAATAATTATTAAAAAGTTACGATTTTTCAAATTATGTATATAAAAAAATATTCAACAAAACTGCATTACGTATATTGATATTCTTTCAATCCAACTTTATCGTCTTTCCTTGCCAATGGACCTTTTTAAGACTGCATTAACTACCGCTTCTTTCGGTTTAATTATGTTCGATCAATGATTTCTCTTTAGTCAGTGTACGTATATAGAATTTTTTATGAGAATAGTCAAGAAAACGAAATATAACTCATCATACAATTTTCGGACAATTTTAAAGTTTCTTGGACTACAAATTACATCTTTGAAATGAATTTCGTTACTACCATATATGTATATATGTAGCTTAAAAAACAATCGAATCTGTCATTTCTCAACTAATGCTGTATGTCTTGCATGACACATAGGGTTAAAATTTCACCCTGACAGTAAGAAAGAATACTGAAAATAACACACAATTAATAACAAATGGAAAGAGAGAAATATGTACAATGACTTTTGGAGTAATACAATGGATACTTTCAATAGCAGTCTTTTGTATTGTCATCGGCATCATTGCTTTTTCTGTGATTCACCTAGGCAGGAGGGATTTTATTACTGCAAATATTACACAATCGGGTACGTTCAAAGGATCTGAAATATTTATTACTTATAAATATTTATACAAATATTCATTTTTTAAATGAAGAATCTAATGAAATATAGTAGAGTTAAAATTAACAATTATAAATTAATATAAAATATATAGTGGGTAAAAAAAATACTAGCACACGCCCATAGTTTTAAACAAATTTTTATGGATCTTTACATTATGTCATAAAAGTGTCTATTATTTTACTGTATTTTCAATAGTAGCAAGCTTTCAAAAAATGTGCTTCTTATCACTGTATGTATATTTTACATTGTATTTTATTCATTTACTAAAGAAGACCGAAATTTTCTTTATTCACTCTATGTACGAAATACAAATACATACTACATGGTGTGTAAAATAAATATTTCTATGGTTATCAGATCACTCAAAAGTCTAATGACCAGATCAACCGTGTTAGACGAGTGGAAGATTAAATAAGATTAAACTAATTCATCACAATATTAAGTGAGTACAATGAGATGTAATCAAACAACACAGTTTTTGGAACTGTTTCTTGAAAACTGTTCCTGTTAACTCTAGAAAGTATATCACTGATTCAGAGAGAATACAAAAACCGTTTTTATGAATTAAATAATTTACAATATATCTGATACATAACAAAAAATCAAATCTACAAAAAGTAACAAATATAACAAATTTTGGTAATAAACCGTATTTATCTTTATCAATATATTTATAATCTAAACTAGTAACAGAGAAAAATATTCATTTCTCCTTCTTTGACCAGAAAATTATTCACAATTCCGAATGATCGTAAAAATTTACTTCTTTAGTAATCGACGCGACACGAATCTCATTAATGGAGACAGTTTCTTTTCGTAAAACCTATAAGCTTTTCCAAATGTGGGTAAAGTCTTATGCTCTTCTGCCGTTTGCCCTCGGGTTGTAAACCTCCAAACACTTTACAACCTCCATGAACAAAGCACCGATGGCCTCCTTAACTCCATTGTATGATGGTTTTTCTGTTAACCGTCCAATATGTGCACTCGAAACAGAACTGTTCTTTGTATTCTGTCTTTAACAGCTTTAAAACACGCACACATGTACACTTATTTGGCGTAATCAACTAGATATTCTGAATGAAATGTTTATATTTATTCCTCTTCGTTATCGAAGTGTTTAGTGCCATTTCAAGTGTGTTGATAAGTGACACTTGATACCGGAAACATAAATTCTATGACAATCAATGTACATTTCGAATTTAATCTTATAATAGTAACTGTAACTGCTGTATAAAGTTTTTCTAATACGATATATTCATAACCAAACAGTGTACTTGATGTATTTATGCCATAGTTAAAACGCTGTTGAACGGTATTGTAAAAAATTGAATTTCCGACGACTATTGTTACCTATTAATATTGAAAATATCTAAATGTCATTGTTTCACAATACTATTGTTGTAATTGGAGACTTTATAACAATTTGAAAAATTGTGAAAAAAACATGATGTATTAGTTGTACACAATTTATAATTATGAAAAATTCAGTTTTTTATATTAATTTACGAAGCTAGACTTAAACTAACGGTTTATTCCCTTTATTAAGTTTGAAATATACTAAGAACTTCACCAATCTTCACTAAAATGTATCTCATATTGTGTTTTACACATTTACGTATAGTATAAATTGTAGAAAATTCACGGTTTATTTATCATGTGTATGTATATGTAAAATTTCTCAGTTATTGAACAGACATTTCATACAATGCTTCAACAGTCTTTATTTCGCGGTAGAAATAATATTCTAATGTTAACACTTACTCAACATACAGCAACAATATATTCAAAACATTAATAATGTACAATGCAAAGAAAATAGTATTTTAACAACCATACCAAACAAATTTATTATGTACAAAATAATGTACCAATAAGATATTCACAATTTTTTAAGTATAACTGCCGTTTAAATTAAAAATTCCACCTTATTATTCCGCTAAAAATTGCATATTGATTTATCTACTATTTCTTATCTACTTGAGTATTTACTTTCAAAAAAATCAGAACAACATACGTTTTTTAAAAAAAATACATTATTGTGTTCGTTATTGTTAAAATTTTTCACAAAACTATTCGAAAACCAGCATAGTGTTGGCAGTATATTATGTAATGTCAGAGTAGAATTTCTAGGTGATAATAATACAATAACTTTATTATTCGTTACGTACGAGTTCCTACATAATCGAATACATATGTAGAGGAATTCCTAACTGTGATGTCACAAAAATTATTTTGAACCTTTTGCGTAGGTATGTCTATATGTATACATACACCCTATCACACATACATATCTAGAAATATGATACCATGTGCCACTTGGGCGTATGTATACTATGTTAGTTGACGTGAATTGAGTATTATTGCAGCGGCTATGCTCCAAACAGCGCTTGGCCTCCAATTGTTCCGTCCGCAAAGGGTTAAAATTTAAAGTTCCAATATTCTAACATATTTATAACATATTATTAAACATATGTCTTGCATAGTATTCGACGAAATATCGTTATCTAACTATTATATATTTAATTTGCATAGTGCCCAAATATGTTTGCAACGTTAAAATACGCTAAGTTCCACTTCTCTCCAATTATTTAAACAACCATGTGTAATTAATGAAAAGCTTCTACATTATTGTCTACTAGAAACATCATTGATAGAATAAAAAGTTCGATGTTAAAAATGTACTAGTTAGGTACCGAATAGTTTCGTGCGAGTCCATTATATTAACTTCAAGCGGTATCGTCATCTGATTGTGGAAACGGTAGATCCTTCAACGGTACACGAAATATCAACGTCAATTATAATGTCCAGATTTAAATGACTATCACACAAAAAGTACATTTTTTTATTCCATCAATCTTGCTGATAGTATTTATAACCAAGGTATGTGTTTGTCTAAAAAATCCATGCAAAGTTCATAGCCCCAAAAGCAGGCCGCGTTCGCCGGAAACGCGCGGAACAGAACAGGTATTATCCCTCGATAGAGAACGCTGACGCCCTCTTTCTTCACCATTGCCGGATACACCGATCGCAGACCACGTGGATACTCTCCCAGAGAAGCAGTCTGCAACTTTGATTTCAGTGTGTCGAAGGGCATCGACACTACCCAGTTCACTACACCTGCGCAGCCCCCTGCTAACAGGGGCTCCCATGTCGCCTATGAGACACAAGCAAACCCGTCATTTTTTTTTTAAGAAGATACTGTTTGTGCATTAACACTTCCACCGTCATGACAGTCACCGGTGATCACCATTTTGATGTATGTACAATAATCCTGTTAACCTAGGAATGTCAGGTGAAATACGTGTAGTGGTGAATGTGTTAATACATTCGCTACCGTCATTTTGTTTCGACCTAAGTACATATGTATATGTATAAAGCATAGTAGGTTATTAGTATTTCAATCAACTTTGCTGCAAATTTTCAATTGTGCTCATCTTCTTAATTATATATCACATAATATAAATAAGTAATAAATAGTACATAATTAATCAATAAAAGTAAATAATATTATAAGATGTAATAAATATGTAAGTATTGTGGCACGAATTCTGCTTTAACTTGTTTTTAAATTGAATATAAAACCGTTCAAGTTTCATTTTTATGTAATAATTTTATTTTGTGAATATTTTTTCGAAAATATATTACATACATCCGGTGACCCTAACTCAATATACAAGATATCTCTGCAAGTATAGTACATATGTATTAGCAAGCAGAGTGTGATTTTTTATAAGAAAATGAATCGAAAATAAAAAATAAAACTTTCCGGAATAAGTTTTCATATTCGAGAAAATCTATTCTGAAGAACTATCGAGTACATGTGCTCTTGAGTTATATGTAATACTTACTTCGAGGACCCAGATATAATATCTACATATCTACATACTATATGTTGAACCGATCATAAAATGCCGAGCTATCGATATCTATTAGCTTATAAGAATTGTCAATATTTTCTCGGTTTTGTAGACTTTAACATTAGAACTACCGGCATTGAATGTACACTAAATTATACATATAATACAATAATATATATACAGAATATATGTATAAGACAATCTAGCATAATATACCATAAAATCAAATCTGTAGTAAATTAAAAGCCAACATGAATTCTATCAAAAACACCATTATAATTCCAGTAGGAATAGCATAGTAAATTTGCAATCCGTCATTTTGACGGATTTGGTAGTTCCAGTGTTAATATTATAAAGTTGTATCAATTGCGTTATTTCTTTCAAAGCAAGGAGTAATTAATAATATTTAGCGGCGAAAGAAATCTTACTTTGTCGGGTTCTACGGAGAGATATCGCAGGATTTGCTCGTACGAGCAGAAATAGAGTCCTGTGGCAGGTACATCACGAAGGAAAGTGGCACTGGTACCAATGTACAGATTGCGAATGCCGCCTTCTTTCCACAGCTTGATGCCGCAATCCACAAAACCATTGTATTTTTTAGTATTGTTCCCCTTGAGCAATTCCGGGCGAATTATTTTTTTATGACACAGGATTACTTGGGAAAAGGTGATAATTTTTTAATTATAAATTGACAATATTTAATATTTCTATAAACTTTTATTACGCGTTCACATAAATCACTAATCCACACGACGACAATGATTAATAGACTGCGGATGTTTATGAATAATTATATTTTTACATACTAATATAATACTAGTGAATGTCGTCTTTTAGCGTGTTTCACTTTGCCACTTTCATTTTTAAGATACTGGGATCAATAAACTTGGTGGCAACAGCGTGTGCATTCCGATAGATCTTACTTTGGTTAAAAATTTGCAATTTCAAATAAATTACAATCATTACAATTCTTTTGTTCAAAAACGATGCAACAACTTAACTGAAAGTCTGTCTTCCTAGTACATAATGTGATTTGAGTAAAACAACAAAATTGGGAGTATCATTGATTTCAACTATAGGTTTTGTTTTATTACGTTTTTAAATATGTGTATGTAGCATAAATATGTACATAAATTAACTCTAATAATTAAATTAAGTGTTTATGAAATGGAATTGAATAAACATACCTAGACGTTCATTATTGAGGATTATATGAGAATGTAAATAAAATAAAAACATTATTAAATTCATTAAGTTTTATATTTTATTATAATTTGCATACTTACGTATGCTATGAATGTATAAAATCCGCAATCTATATAATCTTACATTCTTATTGTTTGTTTTTACCTGCATTTGCAATAAGCACTTGATTCGTTCCGCCGGAACCGTGATAAACGTTGTACTCGCGCCACTTACCAATCCCGCGAATAAAACTTGCGAGCCAGTCAGAGTTTCTTGATCCGGATCGGCGACAAGATCCTTGCCGAATCCATAACCAAGAAAACCAATGGCGAATATCGGTACGACCGTTGCTAGTGGCGGTATTACACCCTACAATAACATATTTAGTATTTAGAATGTGACGTCTATCAATATTAAAAAATAAATACTGCATAGAATTAATACAGAGAAATTAGAATAATTTTAATAAATTTCGATCTCGCTAAAAGAAAGTCAATTTAGCGACAATTATATGTAAGTACTCATTTAATTTCAATAAAAAAAAACCTTTAAATTCTATTTTTGAAGATAATTATACATGAACAGTGACAATATGTCAGTAACAATTACAGTAAACCCAACGAAGATTAGAAATAATGAAGTACACACATGTCAATGACAATTACAGTAAACTTAACGAAAATTAGAAATAAGCGGTGTTTGTAAATCAAGGATGATCCTCTCTTTCTCCTCAGGGTGATCTCCCATAGGCGTAGCCAGAAGGGGGAAGGACTCCTTGCCCCCCCCCCCCCCCCCGCCCAATGTCTTTACTCACCCAACAGTGAGGATCGGTCGACAGAGTAGACGTGCCGACGCGGCGGTTCTTTAGTGCGGCACAGTCTTTGGTTTGCGCATCTGGAGGATCAGCCTGTGCAATACTGTACAGAACTGGAAAGTTGGCAAGCCGAAGAAATGCTGGTCTGATTGGTGATACATATCAGTAGTTTCCTCCCCTATAACCCTGTAACCATTAGCCGGTTTTACACGAACGTTCTTGCGTTGACCATTGCGTGTCACATACCGGCGTGCATGTAAAAGTGTTGGTGTGAATGTAATTTCTACGTCGAGGCCAATGTAAATTTTACGTACGCAAGAGTGCAAGTCGGAGCGTTCCGTTCATTCATCGACATTTGAGCATGTGTGTAAAGCCAACTGTTGACTCGCGGGAGCGTCGCAGGCGCACTCTTAAGGTGGCTCCCGCAAATTTTGAATAATTATCAATTTAGTTGAAAATTAAACAGAACTTTCTTAAAAGCTTCAGCCTTCGATTGCTACAAAAAAATCGGAAAGTCAACGATAAAATTATTGAAAAAAAAACGTTATAAAAATTTCTTTTTAACACGAGCCTTATGGAACTGTAGTTAATACTGAGAAGTTAACTACTTCTTATTTAATTAGACAAAAATGACATTTTCATAAAAAATTGTATAAAATTTCAATAAAATAAAAGTAAAAATTAAGATCACAGTTTGCAAACGTAGGTTTCAATACGTCTGGTAGTATCTTCTAAGCATGGCTGTTATGAGCGTCAACGTCACTTCATCATTTTTCACACAAACATCATTTTTTTCCATGTCAGTATTTTGAAGTTGAGTAGTGCCATATAGAACCCCAGCTAAATACGACACCAAACGCGTGAACTATCTAAGCAGCCTACTCACAACTGCAACATGTTGCGATACACACATCGGCTAGATTTCACGAAACTTCGTCAGTTTCAGATGTCACGCTCTACAGATTGTAACCTAAGTACACATCATGAAATGATGCAGTGCGAGTAGACGGCTATATAAAGCAAGCGGAGACATCCCTCTTGCCGTTTCGCATGCTATCTTCCAGCTCCGCACAATACAATTTTTCTATTAGTACATGTAAACTCTTATTAACAATTTTTTATTAGTATTAAATATCACTAATAGAAAAATATCCTAACATTGACTAAGAAATTACATACTTGAATTTTTCTATTTAACAAAATATTTATATACTCGAGTATCAAAAATTAAATATATATTTTTATAATTAGAATCTTCCGGGTTTCTTTGATGAATACATTTTTTTTATCTTTTATTCATTATTCGAAATTTCTTACCCAAAGTGAAAGACAAAAGTATTTGTGGGTTTTTTATATCACACGTAAACGTGTACAGTGTAACTTTTAAATATCAGAGTTAACAAAAATTTTAATTAAACTATTACGGAATATGCAACATTAGAAATAAAGGTAAAATACGATCAATTCTTAATGAAATGTTTTACTTCATAATTAATAGTATAAATAATATAAGTCATTTTAATCTAACATTCTTATTATACGAGTGTTTTCATTCTTCTTGTTGATAATAATTATCTTTTTAAAATCGCTTAGGACAAAAATATAATTCAATTGTAGCAAAGCAACATACACAATACAGGACAAAATAAACGCGAGTCATTGAAGTCGTGTCCAATGTTAAAGGGATAGGCCAAGTACATAATATTCATAAGCACCTTGCGTGTACAATCTGAAATATAATTTATTCCCACACGGTTCGATTCGCAGAATTCTCAGCAAATTCAATGAATCGGATGAACGCAACGATAAGCATAATCTGGCCAAGCAACCGAAACTGAAACGCGATCGTAACCCGATACAACGTTTTAATATGCGATTTTAAGTATAGACGATAACGAACTGATTCGCAGACTGCCAAGAGTTCTCCGAACTGACGTCGCATCGCATCTCTATTCCCCTTACGGCTAACGCGACAAAAATTTGACCAATTAGGGAACAGGACTGAAGTAGTGTGTTACCCCGCAAGGGTACGCATCCCCACCCAATTATAAGGGCTCTAGAACCTGACAAAGCCAGTCAGTCGACGTAAGGACCCGTAAAGCAACAGGTACCGTGAAAAATGTCTGAAGCAATTGTTGAATGTGACGTGAACAATAAGAGCACGTGTCGCGACGTGAAGTTTAGGATAAAGCAGTCGTATTGCTGTTTCGATGGCAGTTTACATAAACCAAAGCACAAGATCGTTAAATCCTTAAGACACTCGTTGCCATGGATATTGAAAAAGGTCCCGCTACAAACGTTAGGCATTTGTACGAGGTGCAGACATTTGTTGTACAAGGTATTCTTTTTAATTGAGAAATATCCGATCTTTCGGAGACACTTTTAGCACAGTAGTTAGGAATTCAAACTCTAAAAGGTTACGTAGAGATTTTTTTGTTTATAAAATTTCATTGGATGATAGGACATCGACAAATGTTTCATCCTTGTTTGTTTGGCATAGGTGATCATTAATTTAACGTAAAGTAGTAATTTAATAAAACGTTAAAATTCTTTGAAATAAAACTATAATTTAATGTTAGTAATGACAGCCTCGTGATCAGTGCAAATCATTTTAACGATTTTACTAGATAATTTTGTATTGTGGTAATTTTTCGACTGTATTCAACACAGACAGTTATATCAGTAAGGTACAGCCTAGCGATTTGTATTGACACCTGATGCTAGCCAAATGTTTTGATACTTTGTCAGTTAAACATAGCGACATTCCTTCTATTGAAAACGATATCGACCGCAGTGGATGTTAAAAAATGTGAAAGTGTTGCATTACATGTAGGAAATATACATAGACAGTTTTTGTCGGTATGAGGAGGTTAGTGTGACGATTAAATTGGTTTAACAAATAATTTTGTATCGTATTAGATGTCACTTACTATGGAATAATTCTGTGAATGTTTTTATCGTGTTACTAAAGAAGGTATTGTAAATTATACCGAAATGTATGCTCGGCATGTTTCGAAAGTGTGTATCGCGATAGATTTTCTATACACTATGTTACAACGTTTTTTATAATGTTTGGAATTATTTAACTATAAAAAAGCAGGTCTCATAGCTATCAGGTTCAAATTTTAATTTAGTATTTAAAATTGAAAGTGGAAAGAAATTTAGAAATTCAAAGTAACAGAATTTGTCTGAAAGTTTAATTGTGTCTATATTGTTCAAATATAAAGGTGCGTACTCACCAGCGAACATTTCACGAACATTTTATAACCATTACTCGTTCTTTTCGCAAACACTGTTCGTAACAAGTGACACCTATGGTTTCTTGGCGTTCTTCCAATTAAAATTATACCAAATATCACGTATAAATCAGACTATTTGTAACGAAATTAGTTTTACACTATGCAAATTAATTATTCGTGTAATTTCGTTAATTACAGTCCGAATTATGTTATTTTTTATATCATTTTCATCGGAAAAACATAAGGAATCGATTGACGTAATTTCTGTGAAAATCTAATGTGAAATGTCAAAATCAAAGGAGAAAATCAACAAGACCGATGGATACAGTTGTTGATCTGGAATAGCTCGTATACAGCTTGTGAAAAGTCGCGTACATCCGGCGAATAGGGGGTCTGTATAAGCGGAACGATAGGTAAAACACTGTTTGCAAGAGCTTCGGTGGAGACGCGTCTTAAGAGTATCATTTCGATAAAGCATGTGTGTATCTTGTTGAAAGATTTTTTTCATTCACAAAACTATTTTTGCATGGATTATCAAAATATTGAAATGTTTTTTTTTTGCGAATGCAACAGATAAATTTAAAATATATCTCTACGAAACAAAGTTATCACAATGTCATTGATTAGTTATTGCACAAAAATGTTTTATAAGATGCTCAGATAGTTTTTCTCTGATTATGTGTCTAAGTGGTAAAGTGGAAACTTTCATTACGGACTTCATTGTTCGTTTTATTGTTGTTTGTTCTTTTTAAACCATCTCAAAGTTCATTAGTTGATAACCTGCGATATACCTAGTTTATCCATGTTACATTATTGTCATAATAAATCTTAGTACAGTATAGTAATATACAAAGAGCGGTATATATACGCATGTACATACATACGTATGACATTCAAATGAATCTTACTGCCCAGAGACGCACACCGCTACAAACATACGATCGGCAAGAACCGCCGTGAACCGTGTCTGTTTATAACGGTTTCGCTTTTAATAACATCGCGTTAACCTCTAATCCCCGTCAGAAACAACAAACAAAGAGAGGTCATATAACAAGAAATACGAATAACTGAAGAAGTTTGAATTCTTAGACTTTTTCTAATTTGATAATTACCTTGAAAATAGTAAAACTTTCGATAATTAAAAAATGATATGATTAAACAGTTTGTCCAATCATATTTTATCTTTGGCACCATTAATTTGTTAGTGGACCATTCGCCTTAATTATACAGTTATAATAGAGACAATTAAAATTTGTACCTTGTACAAACTAAGTGGTCCCTCCTGCGAGATGTTTTTTTTAATCGTGTCCCATGTACCATTGTACTTATCTGGCATCGTTTGCAATAGAACTTTAACTGTATCTAATGGATGACCAGTCAGTACTGTAAAGATCCCACCGACACCACCAGCTGGAAATAGATCATACACATAAACTTCTGAGTATAATTTTTGTTGCACTGTGGTAAATACCTATCAGGTACTTTAGAATACTTGACTCCTCATGCATTTTGAGCTGCGGTTACGCGTATAGAATTTTGCGATAACCGATTTTACGGAATCGTGGTTGGACACGCGCATTTTTCACTTACTTGAATTCACGTTAACTAACTTCCTCAACCTCATTTGATTCGGCGTTATATTCGTTACGATGAATCAACGGTGTGAAGTGTTACTCGATATCTCCGTGTTTCTAGTTCGAAAATTACGGTATCATGGAATTATCCAAAATAACTTACAGTATAGGAAGGTACACTGACTTTTAATTAAACAACATTTTGCTAAACAAAAGTAAAAATAATGACATGCACATATAAAACAATAGGACATTGCTTACTAAATCAATCAATACCAAATTCTGGCCTGGTAGGTTGGTAGTCATTCTGGAGGGATTTAATGGATCATCTATAACCCGAATTAATCCCTTTTAATGGACAAATGGGGATGAAAAAATGTATTTACGCGTGTCTCTTCTAAAATTTCTGTACAACTAGGCATTTTTTTGTTCTAAAATCCTGTGCTTCAAAGAATTAAAGGGTGGTTCTATGTAGAATGTGTGTATATGTATACAGGGTGTCCCATTTGAATCTCCCAGGGCAAATATCTCAACAAACATGAATGATATGAAAAAGTGTTTCAGGCAGAAGTTGTATGGATTCGTAGGGGACATTATGCTATTCGTTTATTTGACCTTGCTATGGTCAATTTAGAATTTTTAAATTGTAACTTATATTTCTTATTGTACGCACTTTTTGATCACCTTACTATCTCCGTTCTTTGTAGGGATATTAAAAGTTTATTTACAAAAGTTGGTGAAACTGTAGAAAAGCTACCTACCATCCGATTTGGATGATTTTTGGATATGTTGTAAAACTCGACATTAACTCGACACTTTCATTAATATATATTGAAAATTGTAAAAGTTTAAATTTTCATTCGTGCGTGATTTCTTATCTCATCCACGTCTGTTTACATTGTATGCCGACTGTCGGTCGCTGACCTTTGACGTTTGACGCTCGACGCTCGCCAGCACTTTTTTTTGAGCTGGCTGGCTGGCCAAAGTTATTTGAAGATTTATTCAAAGTCTTCGGATAAAAGATAAAATATCATCGACGCTATGAATAAAACGCCTCGAATAAAAAAAGTATCTTTTATTCGTCGGATAATTCTCGTCGAATTTTATTCAATCGACGCTCGTCGAATAAAGATATTTTTTTTATTCAAACTTCGAATAACGAATAAAATTTTCTTATCTTTTATTCATTATTCAAAATTTTTATTTGGTTAAAAATTTTGTCTATCTCTGGCTGGGCGACAGAAGGGGTTGCGCGCACGTGTGTGTGAGATATACGTGTAAGCGAGAAGCGTTCCTAGCGATGAATTAATAGACCCTCAATTATCGAGCTTCTACTGTACAAAACTTACCAATTCTATGAAACCCTCTTGCGCCAAAATCGAAAAAATTTGTACACACACACACAGCAAATATTCATCAAAAGGTTCACAAATACACAAGTTTCTTGGAAAAGGTCAATCTCTGCAGATCGATCGTCACTTTTCCAGTGTTTCCACCGAAAAAAGTCATATAAGAGAAATGTCTTTGAATTGTTCATCTTATGGTCATTGTTACATGAACATCTGCAGAACACTTGGGAACGTTGGCGACGCTGTCGAAGACGGCCGTATCTGGACGTTGTTATGTTATTTCTGGCTGTTTGCATTTCATTCACAGGCTCAATACTTGAGACTTGAAGAAATAGAACATTATAACAGTAGCACACTTGTCTAACGAAAGTCAAGTGTTTGTAGCCAATAGCTATTGCTGCACCGCGGCAAACTATGCGTTGAAGACTGTGTGCAGTCCCTGCAATAAGCGACAAAAAACACGTGCGTCTCTAATATCCGATACGCTCGTGTTTGACTGCGTCGCCAACGTTCCCAAGTGTCCCACAGATGTTCACGTAACAGTAACGAAAAGATGTACGATTCCAGGACATTTCTCCTATTCGACTTCCTCCAATGGCAACAATGACCTTGGAAAAGTGGGGATGGATCTGCAGAGGACTGACCTTTTCCAAGAAAGATTTCACAACAGATTCTCTTGTCTCCTCGAAGGATGTACAACGCGGTTCCGAATGTACTTCTATACTGATTTTTTGACAGTTTCTTTCGTGTAATTTAGTTTGATTTCGTTTCGTGTAGTTAGTGTAGCACTTCGATAGACATTTGCGGTGTATGTATTTGTGACCTCACTGATGAAATCCTGTCGTGTATGGTTCAGATCTTCAGCAGATATTCGTTGTTCATGTGCGAACTCTTCAGTGGATATTCGTTGTGTACGTGCAAATTTGTTTATGAATACTCACTGCGCATTTGTGAACTTTTTGATGAATACTCGTTGTGTGTGTAAATTTGTTGGATTTTGGTCCGGGAGGATTTTATAGAATATGTATCGTTAATACCGTGCAAGAATATTCAAAGTGACACGGACCCTTATAGCACCGGAAAATATTGTGGGATTTCCCAGTTTCTACGAGGTATGTTCGTACTGCACATTTACTTTGTACGGCATTATAGGCCCCTCTGTTCAGTTACTTTGTGGTTGTCGATTGCCTGCGGATTGCCTATTTTCAGGCAGTTCGGACCCGAATTTTTAAATACTTATAACTAAAAATAAAGGTTCAACGACAATTTTGTTACTCTTAATTTTTGTCTTATTTTGGCATATAGAATTACCAGGGCCGTTCGTTGGTTGTTGCCCGCCCAGGTGCAAAAACAGTATCACCGCCGTTATTAATTTAATATTATCCAATCAAGAATTTTATATGCAGTTTTATATAGCGGCTTCGCGCAGTCTGCGTATTATATGAAAATTTACAAAACTGTAGGAAGCAAATCTATCATATTATATATCAATAGATGCAGAAACAAATTTCGGTTGTTTTTTGTCATTATGTAAATTTTGGTATCTCTTAAAATAATGTAACAATACATTTTTTTGTTATAAACAAATTATTTTTTATAAAAATCGTGATCACTTCTTGTTTTACCTCAAGAAACCATAAAACTTTTCCCTAAGAAGTTTTCTTATATCTGTGATAGTTTTCGAGATACCATTTTTCTGCTGAAACTTCAAGGGGTGATTTCACTCCCTAAATTTGCGATTGGGCAGCTATAAAAGAATACGTGTCCCTTATTTTCACCTGCTTAATATATTCACCAAGTTTCATCCAAATCAAACGTATTTTCCCTTGTTAGATTAAATCCAACAAAATAATGCATGGATCCTTGAGCTGAACCTTTTTGCTTCTAATTCCAACTCGGATCTACTTAGATAGTTCTCTTTTATATCTTCCATTATTTACTTCGTACGTTATTATCACTTTCTAAACACTCAGTGTGAATTAGTTTATGGTGTTTGCACAGTTGTCTGACTAGGTTTCCACGTCTGGAGCTGATAATTAATTTCAATATATTATACAAGGTGGGGGAATAACCATTGCTACCTCAGATATCTTCGAAACTATAAGGTTCACAGAAATATTTGTTTAATCAAAATTGCACAGTACGAAGAGAGTAATCCGATGGCGCTAATAGTTTTTTTGCTTGCGATATTTCAAGGTCACCTTCATTGTTTTTTAAATAGATCGGTATATTTTTGTTTCCGTAGAATGACAGAGGAGCTTAAAACAAGTTCAACGACCTATTACATAAGATCATAGTAACGTATTGAAGTGACCTTCAAACAGTGTTTATTCAGTGAAGTAAACCGTAAGCATTATCGCTTTCCTCTACTTTCCATGACCTTCAATGACCTTATGTATAGGTTCTTGAACTCGTTTTAAGCTCTTCTATCATTCTACGAAAACAAAAACATACCGATCCATTTAAAAAAAATGGAGGTGACCTTGAAATATCCAAAGTATCTTCACCTGCAAAAAAACTATTAGCGCCATCGGATGGCTCTCTTCGTACTGTGCAATTTTGGTTAAACAAATATTTCTGTGAATCTTATAGTTTCGAAGATATCTGAGGTGGTAATAGTTATTGTCCCACCCTGTACTTTCACCCTCGCATAACAATGGCTGGTCAGTTCGTTCAGTATGGTTCGATGTTTTAAGGGATCAGGATGTGTCTGTCGAATTTACATAAATCAATTTTTAAAAAACGCACATTTTGTAGTATTTTTTACAAATTTTTATAAATGAATACAATACTTTCATATAGTAGTGTCTAGTATGGGTCTCGTGTGACTCGGGCATCGGCTTTCACGTTCGACATGCGAGGGTTAAGTGAGCTTGCTGTTGAACAGTTCTTTTTCAAAGTCCACCGTTTTTTAGTATTCAAAATCCTTATTCGTTCGTTTGAAACTGCGAGCTACACGACATTTAAATTCTACGTTGGATACTTGTTTCTGCAAAGTTTGTGGAATGCGACAATTTTGATATTAACCATTTCGTATTGTATTACGTGTTTGAAAGTTGAGAGCCATGGTAGAAGTGAAACGTGACACATCTTAACGGTCATGTGGCACTACATCTAGCAAGAACTTCTGCTTGGCATATGGAAACAATCGTGCCGCAGGTAGAAAAACTAGGAATGTAAACGCAACAGGGTGCCAAGGCACGCTGAAATGTAAATGCGTACTTTAAGAATTAAGTCTCTGTACTGTTCCGAGCCTGCGTAACATATGGAAGGTTTGGGCTCTTCAGTACGGTAGATGTCAAGGGTCTCTAGAGCCCCAAAAAGACATTCAGAAGGGTCCGTGCTCTTCAGACGACTATGTACTTTCTAACGTCCCACTGCGTTTCTTACCCCTAGAATAACTGGCAAGGATACTTCGATAACTTCAAAACATTCATTTTCTTTATTCTACACCGGTTTGCAAAACCTTTTCAAGTCGTTTTTTTTTGGTACTGTGTAGTATAAATACTACTCTTTCTCTTGTCGAACAGTAGAATCTTGTTCATTCGAACTAATCGCAGTAAAAGTATTAATATTAAATAAAAACAAGTATCTTGAAAATGATTGGTCATTTCCTTCGGTCTCCATTTTTGTTTCCGAATCTTTCTCAGCTGTCAACAGAGTAATTCGTTTACCCATCTACCGCACTGTGCAACTTTGAAGTCATGTACCAGTTCTACCATTGTTAAACAAATAAAAATGTTTTTCTTAAGTTGACTAACGTAACTTCTAAATTACAATATGGCTGCTCAATTGCCAATGCTTTATGTAGTGCCCACTGTAACCGTAAAGTCGAAATCGTATTTTGGAAAAACTAAAATCTTCACAATTGAAAATTGTAATGTCCATGTGTTTACCTGATCAGATAACAAAATTTGTTTGTACAATAAAAACTAATTTGTATTATAGAGGGTTAAAGAACAAAAACAACTGACCGTTTTCTCGAATATTTGCTGTAAACGTCAACGATGGCGAACGAGTGGCTGGTTTCCCTAGATCGATCAGATACCAGTCGCTGCGAATTTCCGGCTTACAAGGAGTGCATTTTAGGTGTCCGCCTCCGATTGCTTTGGTTTTCGGATATGTTTTAGAGGACCGAAAAATAAGAGATACGTATTTTTTTATAGCAGCCCGTTTTCATATTTAGGGGGTGAAACCACCCCTCAAAGTTTCGAGTCGGAAGTAATATCTCGAAAACCAGAGTAGATACATGAAAACTTTTAATTGGTGGCTTTCATGGTTTTTTATGTACAATAAACTGGTGTTAACAAATTGTCAAAAATACAATTTCTTTATAACAAAAAAATTTGTTATAACTTTATTTTACAATTTATTGAAATTTGTACAAAAAATTTGATATAATTTTTATGAATCTTATTGTTTGCAAAAGCAACTTTTATTTGCAAACGTGATGTCTTGTGTCATTCATATTTGTTGTTTTTCAACGAACGTATACAGCGGCACAAGAATAACTCTGGCGACGTTATTTTTCTGAAAAACATGTTTTCGCAGACTTTTTTGTCTATGTTTGTGAAAGATAGAGTTATTAATAGAGTATTGTAAGAAAAGAACAAGCGTCATCGCAAGTGCTCTTGTATATAAATCGCAGTGCTCAGGAGTAAGAGCTTGCATAGGCGGACACCTAAAATACACTCCTTGTTAGTATCATTATTTAGGTGGACATTTCCTTATGCGTTCCGTGCTATCTTAACGCCATATCAAAGGCAGTGAATGCGGATCGAGATGTAATCACAGTTTTTTCCGAGATTCTGTTTCATTTATTCCGTCGTTTTCATCATTCTTTTCATTCATTGTAAACAATTCCTCTATACAATTTTACAGTGCATAGACTGAAATTAAATTTGTTGGAGTCTCTTTTGTAAGAAAAAACATTGAATTTTGACTATTCCTCAAATTATGTACTGTCCGACGATCGCCTGGCTGTCCCCAATGTGGTACTTAGCGAAGGGAAAGCGATTGGTACTTGAAGGTGTCGTAAATTAAACCTTTCCCGGGCTGCGTCGGGGCCGGGACAAAGAAGACGTTGTTGAGAGCTGCTACCGAAGGGATTGGTATTCGTTCCTTATGGCTGTCGACACAAATCAGCAACGCTTATACACACATGTACCAATAAGGTGATTCATAATTATTTATACACTTCGCAGTGTTGGTGACGTAATATTTATGAATCAATATTTATAAATCACCCTAATATTTTAAGATATACCTATTGCAAACTATCCTGTTTCATAGTTAGAACGATTACTTCGTTTTGGCGACATATTTTACACTTATACTTTTTATAAAACACAGTACAATAGATAAGATTAGATTATTTTTCGGGGCCTATTTTTACCCTTAAGAACTGAAAAGTAGCCAGGAAAATTACTCCATAATGTACGCTATAAACCAGAAAAGATAAAAAAGATGAGAATTTTTTTATTATAAAAGTTTAATTATGAATTAGATAGTGGTCAAAGATAAGATGTAAAACATTTTTTTCAAATCATGAGAGAAAAAGATTTCTGTTTTTATGTTATAATGAAATATGTTTATTCGCAATTGTGATATTTTCGAATATTTCATGATACACCACTTACGGATTACAATGGCCGCCATTAGCGTTTCGACCAAAATTAATTAAAACAGACGATGATTTGTGTGTCTTACCATTTTTATTCCAAAAATGTACAATAAGCAAATTCCAATACTCTTCCATTCCAAGTTATCACTTCTAACACTTTGAATTATCAGAATTGTCGTTTCATATTACGCGCGATAACAGGTCACCACTCTGTTCGAAACCATCTTTCTTATGTGTCTTATCAAGCAAGTAACAAATACAAAATAAATTACAAGATAGCTGAAAATTATGATGGATAATTAACAAAAAGGCTTAATTATGTTTTTGTTTTTAAATTTAATTATCATTTTCCGTAACCTTCAATTTATACCGTCTACTTGTTATTTTCAATGATTCTTAACTGTAAATAACTCTGTAATGGGAGTTGCAGCAAAATCATTCTTACAAAGAAACTACGTGTTATAAATTTTCTCAGTTTTCAGCTTTTATAGTAAATGATGATTACATTGACTTGATAATAAAATATTTCTTTGTCTATAAGATGGTGAATAGCAACATAACCGTAGTCGTTATTATGAATTACGTAATAACGAGCATTTCACTCCAAATTCACTAGTATATATTTGTTTTAAATTACCTCCTACACTCTCGCAGTTTTATAATTATTTATATCCCGTGTGCACGCCTGCTGTTTCAACTTCCGATTGCTTTGGTTTTTGGAAAATATTTTACCGAAGGTTTTACGGTTCATATTTGTCACAAAAGTGATATTCATGAAAAGAATGTTTTAAACAAAACGTTTTTTTTACACTAAGTTTTTTTAACTATAACTATGTGACGTTGAAAATACAGATTGTACAACACATTCTACCTTTTTATAGACTTTCTACTGTCGTCGAGGTAACTCTAAATTACATTTTAATACGTTTTTATTTAGCTATTATTTATAAGTATGAGTACAATTGGACAGAGTGGCGTTGTGATGTTGCTGACGTTCAGAAATAGACTGTCGCATCCCCTGCTTGGGATCAGTATATAAAACGATTCCGGTTTGGAGGGGGTGGACGTTAAGTTTAAGGAATTTAGAAAAGGATGACCTAGGAAATAGGGATATCATGGGAAGACATCTTGGCGACATTAGGAATTTGGGAAAGGTCTATGTGGGAAATCGGGATATCGCGAAAAGACATCATGGCGTCATTCGAAATCCGGATGAAAGCTTTCTCGGCGAACGGTCGGGTTTAAACATCTGTATCGTCGGGTCGGTACATGGAAAAACCATCGGGGTAATGAAGGGTTTGTTGGCGACTACCGCGACACTACCCCTAAAGTTCGTACAGAATGTATTTCTAATTGAAATCTAATCTGGTCTGAATTGTATATATTCTCAGATTCGTATTAGCAATCAAAGGCTTCAGTTCATTAACAAAGTTTGTAATTCTGACTTTCAAGACTTCATAATCTTCAATTGTTTGTCGTGTAACAAATTTGGTTATTTTTCGTAAAACAATGTGATTAGCTTTTGTAAAATTATGTAACCATTTTTTAGAAGTTTTAAATACCATGTTATCATTCCCTTGCTCCTTATATGCCTTCAAAGCCCATTGTCGAATATTTCTCTCATGCAAAATATAATCGGCATCAAGAGCTTTCCTCAAATTGTTTATTACATACTCGGAAATTTGTGCTAATCTTTCTCATCTGGTTCCTCCTGCTTCAACTTGATGAGCCCATCGTCGTAATTGTCATTCCGAAGAAACAAGTTTAAAATTATGTTGAACTGTATCAAGCATATAACTACATAGTTAGTTCACATAAGTCTCCCGGGAGAGGAGAATGTCGGTATCCCCCCCCCCCCCAAGGCCCCAGGCTCACGATGCACATAACTAACATAAATCTAAGCAATGTATTAAATTTTCATTACAATCTCAGAGAAAAAAGTCGCAAAAACCGACCTTTACTATTTTCTTCGCGATTCCTACCAATTGCAACTCTTTCAACGTTTTGTTAACACATCATTTAGTAAACTAATCCTTCGAAGTTCACAAAGTAACTCAAGTCACTTGGTCCAATTTTGAAAAAGTTGTTCTGTTTTAAAGGGTATAAGAATACTTTCTTTACCCACTGTATACAGAAGTAGGAAATTCCGTTCACCACACAGAAATGTTTTAATAATTCATGTGGACAGAACTGTGTTGCAGAATTCCAAAAATATTTAAAAGTGGAAACACAGTAGAGCAACCAAACACTTTTTGGAACAAATTTCACATCCGAAATTAACTTCCAAGCGACTAAACACAGCAATTGTAAGATGTGATGCATCCCTATACAATATCTATATTTTTTAAATGAAAGTTGTGACAGAAATGGACAAGTTTTTAAAGAATTTTTAACACTGCTTCAGTTTCACTATATTCCATCACGGTGTCAAAACTGTGGTGCCGGATACTACGCAGTTTTAACTCACGCTTCTATTCTTTGGAGAACACGTAATAGTTTTAGAAAACCTCAGTCTATTGTATCTGAAAAGCAAAAAAATTCTTTATCATCCCGTTACACCCGAATATTCGTTCGCGAGTCTACCGGTTTCGATAACACGAGATCGTTGGCTTCACTGGAATAAAATTTATTTTCCTCTCTTGCTACGAATATCGTACCGTAATCGCTCGTCCCGGCAAACGACGCTGAAAGGAGCAGGGGTGGGAGTGACAGTAGGAGGAGAAGGAGAGACACAGCGCCCCGTTACCGAAAAGCCAGAGGCGCGCCAGTCAGACCCTGAAAATATTGCCGGTCACGAGGAGTTTCCATCATTCCGTGGACGGCCGATCGTCGTATAAATTTGCTGCTGATCGTCGTTGCTTCCACGGCCGAATGTTTCGGGCGCGTTTGCACGCATACTCGTTAATGGGACGTGTCCTGTCTGCCCTCACCAACACAGTACAGTCGTCTCTTGGATGCGCGGAAACTTTAAGGCACACGAAGAACGATAGAATCAGGGGTTTCTGCTACAATGACAGAAACCGGGCAAACGGAATCCGTCGTGATGTCGGTAAACTTCGACAATCTCGTGTTCAAACGGTGGCTACACTGTGTCGGACCTGTCCGCCGTTGCGAACTGTTAAAAAAGGTGCGGTTCATTTCTACGATTTAAATTTTGTATCGACATAGTGTAAAATGGAAATTTTTCGTTACTGTTTTTAAACGTCGGTTTTACCCGTTCCATTTACCAAGGGAAGGGGGTTGGGGCGGGTAGGGAACTGATCGTCGGACCAAACAAACGAATGTAACGTAAACACGATCGCGTCGCAAGAAACATTTGTTTCTCCCATTTCCCCTCCTCGAGGTTGTTGTTTCTCGGTATACATAGAATCTGGACAACTATGAGACACAGACCCGATCCTAAAATACAGTGGCGATTGTTTCAGCTGAAGACTCACCTGCAAAATCTTGGACTGTCACGGAGGCAGGTACGTCGAGGTTTGATTCAACTGGCGACGAAACCACGCGTAGTTCTTACGCGACAGCCAGCCGTCAGAAGATATGGGTAAGTTTACAATCCTCTGGGCGTCAGTGATTGCTAACGTCGATAATCGAAAGCGTTCGTTTCGGATACTGGGTTTTCTTTCACGCGAACATCGCATGACTTATTTCACGTTCGCGTTATCATATTTTATCTGACTTTACACTCACCCCGGTCGTCTTGGTAGACGATTCGTACAAAAAGTTTAAATGTTCGCTCGCTCGTTGACGTTGGTACAAAACGTTATTCAAATTGAAAAATTACATAATTATTTTTTACCTCTGAATTATATTCAAAAGAATATCCACACTTCAATGTATAATTATGTACCTGTATTTATAATTATCTTACTAACAAGGGAACATCTCGAACCCGGAAATTCCAAAAATTATGAAACTTTTTGAATATGTAGGGGATTTCCTCCTGATTACAGCAAAAATTTTGTTTGCTGTCCAAATTCACTTTAAGGGGGTGAAATTAACCCCTGAAAATTCGGCTATTTATCGATTTTCTGTTATAACTCGCGAGCTGTAAGACAGAAAAAGTTTCAAGAAAAAAGTTATAAACAAAAATATCAATGTTTTTTAAAATTCGGTTTTTCACGTGAAATCTGAATTGGTGGTTTAAATAATTCTGAAACAGTATAATCCATTTTTGTTCGTACACATTCACCCTTTGTCGTATCGCTGAATTGTGTTCCTTGACAATCGAAGAACTTCTGGATCCCATTGTAACATACCTTAAGCTGCACGACAAGCAATGTTCTTCTAACATTTATTAGGAAATAATACTTAACATGTAGAAAAAAAGTAAGGTAATTTATATACTTTTGTCACTAATTGCACAGGACGCAAATATACCATATGGGTATAGAGGAAAAGAAGGGAACTGTTAAATATAATTTATTCTTATTGGAACTTTTTATTTTTAACATGGTTATCAAATTTTGCTCTTATTTTCTTACCAAGCAGGTAAGATAATGCAGGCGATTAATGAGCGATTTAAGTACAGTTAAGTAACTTTGGAAACACTTATGTAATGTGAATATTATGAATTATTCTTCATGGTGATGAAACACTTAAAAATATGTTGAAAACATAGAAATTTGTTACACCACGCACATCCTGTTGTGAAAAAGCGAAATCTACTAAATTTTCAAACTTATTTGGTTTCTCAACAATATATTCACTTTTATACCATGTGTACAGTGTACACAAACACATCGTGATACTTTGGTGATGAAAATTGATTATGAATAAGAGACTGTAATTTAATGACATTATTCCGTGTACGTAGCTGAATATCGTAATTAAACAATAATACATGATCGGAAAATTTTCGTATGAAGTTTTTCCATACGCGGAAACCACATACATCAAGTAGTTGTATCATTCCTGGTATTGTGAATATTTCCACATGCTGATTAGATGGTACAGCGTTTTGTAATGTAGATGGACAGTGACCAGTCCACGAGTCCAATAACGCTTCGAGAACCCGCATGTGGTAGATATACGCTTGTTAACCATTCCTTAACCAGATCACTTGTTAACTTTCCAGATGTGGACGCCTTTATATAAACATTCCACGGTCGAAACAAAGATTGTTGTACACGTGGACCAAAATTACCATCCTGTTCCTTCAGGACAATAAATAACGGAGAAAGTAGTTTCCCAGAAGCTGATATTGTGGCGAATATGGTATAGCTATGTGTAGCAGCGGATATAGACTACGTCTGTTATAACAGTTTTTGTTCCTTGTGCAGCTAAAGTCCGACCGAAAAGTAATTCTATATTGAATCCTCTTCCATCAGCATTGAATGTATTGCTTCTTCCGATATCTCTAATACGAGGTTTTACATTATTAACAAAAGCCGAAGCAATTTCATTTAACTGCGTGGTATCTGTACCGTATGTTCGGGTAACAAATTTGTTTACTTTTCTTAAAACTATTCTATACGTTCTCTTAACACTAGGTTTACGGACATTTCTTATACTCCCATCTTTACGGGCACGCGTCAACGAAACCGCACATTTTCTTTAAAAACAACTTTTTTTTTTAATACTCAATTTACGATAACATCAAATTGTCACGTATCCGTAGAGATAGATATATCACATACAGAATTTTGAGATTAGAAAGCATTCGAAATGCGTCAAAATGACGCGACCCGTAAGCCGAGTGTTAAAATTCCAGACCCAGTGTTGAGATGCTTTAAAAGTTTCCAAACCTATCTCTTCATTAGCTTTGTAAGGCCCATCTTCGAAGGTCCAAATCATGAATAATGGTATGAGTTTCAATCCTGTCAACAAACTTATTATACATATATTCAGAAATTTGTAACAATTTTTTCCATCGTGTCTCTCCTCTGTTCACCGTTTCTTCCCATCTAGTGAAAACAAGGCAATTTTGTATAGATATAAAACAAATAGATACAAAACACCTTAACATAACAGTACATGCACCGTTCACCACTCACCTATGCAATTTTTTTACGGATGAAACGTTTCGGAAATTTATGTCTGACAGATTGTAAAGAAAGCCGCTTCTTCTTACCGGTCTTCCAAAACGCAACAGCATTTGTTTTATATTTTAAAGTCACGATGTACCTCCTTCTTCTGGTACCCACACCTCTTCTTCGAACTTTATCATTTCTAAAAGTTCTTCGCGTGTTTTTTTTCTATCTGTTACAGTTCGCGAGTTATAACACAAAATCGGAAAATCGCCGAATTTTCAAGGGGTTAATTTCACCTCCTTAGAGTGAATTTGGACAGCAAACAAAATTTTTGCTGTAATCAGGAGGAAATCCCCTACGTATTCACAAAGTTTCGAATCGGAAGGGGGGGACATCAAGTAATAATAGTGAATTGACAAATAAGAAGAGAATAATATTTTTTCTACAAGAAAAATTGAGAAACTCGAAAATTAAAAGAATTATGAACCTTTATATATGTCTATATGTATTATGAAAAATATGAGATACCAAAAAGATTTTTGGACGTAGTTTCGAAAAAGTGGTCCACCTTTCCATTTTTATGACATGTGGTAAAATTGTCTGAAATACTCCCAAATATACATATACATAAATATATTTATATGTGTATATTAATGTTTAAATGTTCCAAAAAACCTATTATCTATGTTCATTTGGGAATATTTAAGACAATTTTATCAAGGTCATTAAAATCAAATGGTGGACCTTTTCAGAACTGCAGCCAGATTTTTAAACAAAAATTTAGTGGTGTACTATGTACTATAAAATTATGTAGAGAAATTATTTACAGTTTATTGTTTAAATGAAAAAAAAACCACAGCTCACCCTTATTTTTCAATATACTTATTTTATTATGAACACAAAAAATGTGCAGAATCTGATTCTGAACAAAAACATGTACATAAGTATATTTTATATTCCAAGTTCCACCACGTACGTCACGCCATTCGACAGTCATCCAAGAATACTCACGGCCACTATACACATATCTTTAAGTGTTGTGCACTGGAATATTTTTATATATTAGTTATGTGTTTCATTTCGAAAACACACGTAAAATAAAAGTATGCAGAAGCGTTTTCTTCTCTGTCGGTATCGAAAATAAATGTTCTTTTACTAGCAACTCTTCATGAATTCAGTACAAATAGCTATCCTTTACGCGAAACGTTTGTGAGTTAGATAGACTGTTAAACTTATATTAAAATAGAAAGATAATTGCTGGGATGAAGTTACCTATTCAGTAAACTTGTTGTTAGTAATTCTGACATCAAGGGCAAACTTGGTTGGTGACCTTTCAATGCGAATTTCGGTATATGACGCAATGTGTTTACGTTATGTCACCTTATCTCGTTTCAAAGTTACGGTCACATAATTGCGTCGCAAAATAAATCTTTGTATGTATATATAATGCAATTAATACATCATCAAACAATTTTCATGTAATATTTTTAGTATTTCACCATGAAAGTATGAATATTTCAAGAACACATTTCTGACAACGTTAATGTGAGTTTAATAATTCTGTGGTATGATAAAAATTAGTTAAATAAGGAGTAGTATGGTTAAATAGTAGTTTCCCAAAATTAACTTTTTTTCAGTAGAAATAGTTTACTCACTCACACCCTCAAAAATTAATTAATTTTTTGTTTGTCCATTTAATGTAAAGTGTTATTTTTTAACTAACACTTTTTTTTACTAAGAGTTTATTATAATTAGTTTTACGTTAATATCTCCAACAATTTCTGTTATATTCAGTACACTATAAACCACTATGACTCATTAGATTTGTGTGCATTCTCCATCTTGATCGATTTGCAAACAAATTTTCAGAGAATGCAATGAATCATCGACAGGATACATGACATATAGAAATACGTTGTTTTATCTAGAATTCTTGGTGCCGTTATGACTTTTATCAAAAAAGCAATACTTTCTCGAAAGTCTAATTGTGATAGTCATTATGTGTCACTTATGATGATAGTTATTGATAACTGTTCAACAGAAGGCGTACACGCGAGATGACAGAATAGCAAAAGCAGAGAACAAGCTATAAAAGCAAGCAAATCATCATTAACAAGAAAAATTATTCTACTAAATTCGACGTTGCTATAATTCCGTTAACATTTGTTAATGAAATTGGAAGTATAATGGAGTGTTAACAATAATACTTCCATTGAATTTAATCTACCACACTTGATCTCTTTTTAATATTAATAATCGTAATTTTTGTTTCAAATTCATCGGTGAAATGTTTATTGATTTTTCTAAAGAATTCATCATTGACACTGTTTCCTTTAGTGTATGTATTGGAATACGTATATATGTAAGAACATATGAAAAATGGAATTACTGGGCAAAGAAGACTCGAACCCGTGTTTTTATCTTTCGGCTAACGACTACAGCCACAGTACCCTCGCTAGTCTATCTCTTCGTAAGATCTGGGGGGTTCCCGATCCCACATATTAATTTAGCTAATAAAGTGATATCCTAAATGTATTAAATTTATGTTTCAGGCCAAGGAAATTATTCCTAGATGAAAATGAGGAGAAATCCGGTGAAGTTGCAACCAGTGTCAGAACTGATATTGCATTTCTCCAACATAAATCACAACCCAAACTGAAGCATATAGAGAAATCGGATAAAACAGAAATTGATACTGAAAAAGAATACAAGCGAAATGAAAAGGTAGAAGATATTAAGGCGTGTAGAGTTGAGCTCATGGACAACCCACAAGAAACATTTGTATTGAATAGAAACTGTAAGATTGGAACTAAAAGAAGTTCACACCAAGCAAATACCACATTTATATCGCAAGATTCGACAAATAATAAAAAATCACCCTCGGACAGAAAATTCGAGTGCAACAAAGATGAAAGTGGGATTGCACACATTGAAAATGATCTTAATCGTTTGTCTCAGAAATCTTCTGATTTGGTATCTGATAAAAAAAGCAAGAGTTTAAACATTGTATCAGTTGCAGATAACAAAAAACGCATGAAAGTAGATTCAAGTATGTGTTATAATCAGAAAGATACAGAATCTGTTAAGTTAAGTACTAAAATATTCGAAACTGCTGAGAAAAGTACGAACATTAAGGGGGAATCTAGATTGAGTAGAACCAAATATTCCATGCCAGAACATTGTAAAGGTAATATAACATCAGAACATTTTCTAGAGAAAAATTCTGTTAGATGCAGTGATATTAAAATAGGGAATATTGAAGAGAATCAGCACAAAAGAAGATTGCACAATACACTTACTGCAGACTTTGTGGAAAAAAGAAGAAAAATTCGTGCAATATTTGATGAACCTGAAGAAATCGACAGGGGGAAAAGGAAGAAACTAAAAAAATTTCGGAAATACTTTGGGGATTGCATATCTGTTAGTGAAGATGAACAAGAACAAGATATCCTTCAGAAGAAACTTAAAAGAAGAAAAAAAAAAGATTCTGTCGATTCATGTGATTCCGGAGTGTGCATTAACGAAGAAAGTGTAGCTGCTAATTGTGAAGAACGTTTAAAAGACATTCGAACAGCTGCACATGATTCAACAATACAAGAAGAATTTAACGAAGATACGTCTAATAAGATTTATACAGAATCTGATATAATTAATAAATTAGAAAATGGAGAGAACTGGAGTAAAAGCGTTAATCAAGTTATGAATGTAACAAGTAACGAAACCAAATCCAGTAAGTCAAAAAGTGGAACATGTAAAGCAAATAATGTTGAAATAGAGAATAATAATACTGTTGAGAAAAAATTAAACAGTAGTTTGAACAAAAACGATGTGGTGCAAACTACAACTACAAACGACGTTACAGAAGCATTTAAAAGGATTGATAAGTTAGAGGCTACTATTCCTACAACAGTAGTAGAGATAGAAGTAAATTCAATATCTTATAATATTTCACAAATGAGCAATACAGATTGTAATGCTCAAAAAGCTGCAACTACAAATGTTTCAAAATCTCAAGATAATAATTTAAATAACCACGATTTTAATGAACTTCTTCAGATGAATTTTAATGATACTTGCCAGATTACATCAAGTGGAAATGTCCTCAGCATTCAAGAGGATATTATGAAAGATGAAAATCAAAATACAGTTAAGGAGAACGTTACTTTATCTACTAATGAAAATTTGGATTTGAAAACATCTGTAGAAAAAGAACCGAATAGTAATCCAAACAAAAAACATCCAGAACCAGTTTTAAATGAAATTGAAGAAAATGATGATACACTTTTAAGTAATGCAGTAGTACTTTCTGATGCAAGGGAAGATGTTAACGCTGTTTCAATAAATAACAACTTCTGTGATATATTAGAAACTGTAATTAAAAGAACACTGCTGAAACCTAAACTGAAGGACTCAATGGAACAAAAGAATACTCAGTCTAACCAAGTTTGTCAAGCCAGATTGAGAGTATTGTCTAGTGCAGAACTTGGTTCTAGGTGGTGCCCTACGCCTATAAATTCTGTTGCATCTAATAATTGTCCTTCTTTTTCAAATACATATACAACAATAACACTAGATAAATCTGTGAAGCCTGTTTCTTCAGTTCCAGTCTCATCATCTACTTCAGAAACAGTAGCTACAACATGTACATCTAGAATTATCAGTGCTACATCAATTCCCTCATCGGTGTCAGCTTCTACAGAAGCAATGCCACCTCTTATTAATTCAACAAAGAGTACCCTGGATCCAAAAATATTAGACTATGTGAATGTATCTCTATTGAAGATATGCAATATAATTAGATCCAAACGTGTTCCTACACAAATTTCCCGCTCAGATCATGATAAATTACTGTATAGAGAATTTGAACAATTAAGAAGAACATTAAATTTTGAGGATTTTGTAACTTTCATTCACAGAGTTATAAACATTTTTAATAAGGAAGTGTTTGTTAGCACACCATTATCTCTACAAGAATTATTTTATTATACACCGTCATTACACACTTTATATTTGAGAAATTCGTGTAATCAAGTTGGTAATCATAATGAGCATCAATCATATGTCAATGGATGCTATCCAAATGCAATACCAACTGTTACAAGCAACATACCAATTCATCAAAACATGCGTCGGCATCCTACATCAATACAGACAGGCTCGCAAGATTCAGTTCCCATGAATGCTATGCAACAATATCCTTTGAATTTAAATCAGACACAACAACAGTGTTTTTCGAATTTAAACCAAACAAGCATAAACACAAAGTCTAAACAATTTCAGCAAAACCGCCAGAAGAAAGTTGTTATACCACCAGAGATTAATGTCCACCAAAGTAAGGTATCAGCGAATCCTACTTTCAATTCTCCATTAAGTACAAGACACACAAGATACAGGAAGCGAAAACAAAAACCAGTTGCACAACAGAAAACTGCACTAACATATATAACAGTCCAGGGACCAGTAACAAATATTAATACGTCCCAAGGTGTTCTTAAGCCACAAATACCAAATTCCTCTATTGGTATCAGTCAGCCAGGAAAATATATGTATGCTCCAACAAAAAGTACATACACAAATCAACAATATGTTGCACCAAATGTTGATATACCTGAAGGAAATCCATTTTATATGGTAAACGCATCTATACCACACAATCCCGTTCAACAAAATATAAATTTAGTTCATACTATCCAACAACAAAATGTTAACATGGCATACTCGATGCAGCAACAAAACATTAATCTGGCACATACAAATCCGTTACAAAATATTAAATCTGGAAGTCAACAATTTCAAAAAACTGTGCATAGACAACCACCACCACCTTATGATGTAGCACAAGGAACTTTTCAAACTCAAACTGTGTCTCAATCATTTCAAAATATGCAACAGAATGTACCAGTAACGAATTATATGCCACAACCTGTACAAAATGCATTTGTATCAAGTACACATCAGTCAGCACCAAGAAATATGCAACAGAAAGATCAAATATATCAAAGGGCACCTCCACAAATGCAAATGAAGGTTTCTCCAAATTTTTCATCAGACCAAAAAGCGACACCTCTTTCATATCTACAAAAAATGACAAATACTAATTTTATGGAAAACTCCAAATTTCCTACGAAAAAAACAGACAGTAAGGCACAAATGTCATTGGAATCAACAGCAAAACACTTCAATGTATTGAAGTATCTTTCTGATATTCAAAAAATGATGTTACTGAAGCACATAAATTTTTACTTTGGTTGTACCATATGGTTGGAGCAAGAATTTTCACAAGAAAAATGGCAAAAAATTCAATCTGAAAGAACAGTGTTACTTAATTTTCATACACTTTTGAAGAACATTGTCGATAAGATTGTAACTGACCTATTACAAAATAAAGATCAAGCAAATGCATGTGAAAAGAATTTACTTACAAATATTAAAATTGATGCTCCAAAAGAAGTACAAATTATTGTTCAAGGAGATGGACTACATTGTCAAGTCGATGTATCAAACACTGACCAAGTACAAAGTAAAGTAACTAACAGTGAATCTCATCAAGAGAATTTAAATCTCCTGATAGTACAAAAACAATCTGAGAAGCAACAAAAAGGATGTAATACTTCAGAAAAAACACAAGTATCTAATCAGTCGCAAGACCTAAAAATATTAACCACAAAAGAAGCAGAAAACAACCAGGAAGATAAGCAAGAAGATATTCAACAAAACGCTTTTCCTATGCTCGCAACGATGTTAGAACCTGACATACCAATACAAACTGAAAAGTCTAAAAGTGAGGTGGAACAGGACTCAGAGGACTCCACAAAAGAACAGATTTTAGATAAATCAGAAAAAGCAGCTGAAAATATTGCTTCTACAGATAAAGAAGACGCATCAGCAGCACCAGATTTAGAAGAATCTAATAAAGATAGATTGCAACAGCTACCTTCTCACCTAATTACTGTAGAAATTTCTCCCGACAGTGATTACGTGACAGTTGTGGACATTATTGGTGCTCATGACATCGAAGATACTACAAGTGCAACAAAAGTTGAAATGGCAAGGGAGGGCAAACAATCACAGGATGAAGAATTGCATCCACCACCTGTAATAGATAATACACATGAAACTTTATCAGAATGTGTATCAAGAAGTTCAAACTTCAGTACTGAATGTTCTAATGATACAGTTCCAAATGATTCTACGATGGAAGAAGATAATTTGACACAAATTGCGGATGTTAGGAGCATTTCTCTTGAAGCATTTGAGAAACTGGGCATAGGTAGCAATACAGCTGCAACTGTTGTAGAAGGAAATATCGAAGAGGAAGAAATTAAAGTATGTTTATGTTGCAGCAAACTCAGCACTGTAGTATGTTCAATCTGTTTAGAAGCTAAATACTGTTCAAAAAAATGTTCAGAGTTACATTGGCAAGAACATTACAAAACCTGTAAACCTGTAGAAAAAAGTATATACTTATAATTAGAATATTATATTACATCCTGTATTCCACACTTACCTCATCCAACATAAGGTACTTTCACTGTGACTCTGTTATGTTAAACAGTATTTATTGTTGCTGCTTTAAACTAGAATTTAAGAATGTTATTTTTTTTTTATATAAAATTATTTTTTAAATTATTTTTTGTACAAACATAGGAAAATATAAATATATTAAAAAACAAGCTATTGTAGTTACACCAAAATAATATCTTCACCTATCATCATACATTATCTTCCCAATTGTTTGTAACATTTAATTTCTAGGGTAAATAATTTTGTTTAATGACAAAACACAAATAGTATCTGCATTAATATTGGTGTATTTTATTTGAATGCAATAATTGTTTCAGTTTTGCTACATCAAAATTGTACATATGCAAGTTTCTGTTCATTAAAACTACTAACAATAGTAAAAAAGATTGAGTTTCAAAGCATTGACTTTTATTCACTTTGTTGTCTGATACAATACAAGATAAGAATATATACATGACATTGAATGTAAACTACAAACTAACAATTCCACTGGACAAATTATTCTTCATAACCAACACCGGGAATCCAATTTTTTTTAGGATTGTGAAACAATGAATGCTTACCATCTCCCCATGGAAAACGCTGTGTTAGAGATCAGAAAATAATTTTACTGTATCATTATGTTCAAATATTAAAACTACGTTTTATTTCATACCTTGTTCATAATCTTCATATAAGGATAAGGAATAGGTTCTGGTCTTTCTTCTTTGTGGTTTATATGGTTTATATAACAATTAATCGTTGAAAGTAAAATAGCAGGTACAGCGCCGAATAAAGTGAGGTTTCTCCACAATTTGATTGCACCTAAAGCCAAAATGTTACATAATATATGTTCATATCTTCTTAAATGTAATTGATACGTAAATTAATCAATCAAAATAATACAAATAAGAAAATCTTTTAACATGGACAATACAAGTATCAATGCATCTCTAATATTGTTCCACTAACTAAAGAATATCACAAACGAGTTTTTTTGTTATTACATTAATCAGTTACATACGAAAACATAGTAATCCTTGTATTATACGTAATTAATAAATTTTAACTTTCCATAATTTACCTTCTCCTGTGGAATGACTACGTTGCTCTACAGTTTGCACCACAGTTGTTTCAGTTCTCTTAAACATTTGGCCAAACTGGCCCAAATGTCGTAAACGTGCCATTTTGGTTTCACGCAACTTCTGCTAGCTTTCGGGCTTTCGTGTATCTCAGTCTCTCTGGTGTCGACAATGCTTGAACCGCTTGAACTAGTACGGATCAGTACGGATGACGGATGAGGTTGGCAGTAGAGTGAGAGGATAATACATGGAGTCACAGACTTCTCTTTCTAATGGGGCTGTTGGTGGGGGAATCTCCTACGGCTGTGTGGAGTAGAAATGGCATGAACTGCTACTTGTGAATCACTCGTGATTCGATCACGTTCGTTTCCAATCACGGTGATTTTTCACAGTGATTCGTGATTTCTCGTGATCGTTCCTGATTGGTGAAAAAACCTAACAGGTCTTTACACGCGACAGATAATCTGTATATTTTATATTAACGACATCAAAACAAAAATTCGAGTTATATCGTATAAAGTAAAGGAATAATTAGAAACAATGAAGAATAATGAATAAATCAATGATTTCAAATTATAATCTACATGTTATCTAGCAAATCATTCTTTTAGCATTTCTTGTTTTTTTACTGATTTTTACAAACACAAATAGTAATGTAATTCATCGTAAAATCATATTGAATACGTTTTTCTGTTTAAAGATCAAGGACTTACGATCGCAGTGAGCAAATTCACTCAAGATAAAAAAATCGCACTCACGGTCGTGAATGAAGTTAAATCACGACCGTGATCGTGATTCGGCGATGTGATAAATCACCGTTAGTAATTTTGCACGCTATCTCTAACTGAAACCGTTTTGTAATTTGATTATTTAAATTGTCACATGCTTCTATATAGATGAAATTGTGCATTCGATGTGGTAAGAGACTCCGTGTGTGTGAAAAAGTGGGGTCATAGCACCCCAGGAGGAGGCGCTAGAGATCCCGTGTGGTGAGAGCATGGGGCCATAGAACCTCTGGTGGAGGCGCCAGAGACCCCGTGCGGGGAACGTGTGGGGTCATAGAACCCCACAGATGTCCCCCGCGTACCGATATCGCGGGGTTATACAATCCCCACAGATGGCGCCAGGGACCCGTGTAGCGAGATCGCGGAGTCATAGAACCCCCACAGATGGCGCCAGGGACCCGTTTAGCGAGATCGTGGGGTCATAGAACCCCCGGAGCATGGCAAGAGTTTTGAAACGTGATCCTTTATCGTTGGTGCTCGTACAACTCTCGAGCTCGGTCGAATGTTGCTCGTGCAACTGTCGAATTGGGACTCACGCTTGTGCATGTCCCGTGAAGAAATTAGATAATAACTCCAGCAACCATGGCAGTTTCTGCAGATACTATTACAGCCCAAGTTTAAAAGACGTAGGCTGTAGTTAACTTCTGTTGTAATCTGTTGAACCAGACAACTATAATTAGTATATGATTGTACAATATTTATGTAGTTATATTTAAGACAATTCAATGAAATGAAGCTTATATTACCTGACGTATGTTTATTGGAATATACATATATACATATAAATTATAATGATATAAAAGTTTAAAATACAATACGATGCGCTACGGTACAATACGTCTATTCGATTTAATTGCTCTATTGCGACTACAACATCATGCTATCCGCGTTCGGCGCAATGCGCTAATACGGAGGCCAACGAAAAATCATTGTAACACTTAAAATAGTTTTAAAGTTCCATTTATTTCATTGTCCTGTGAAAATCTTCATACTTCCAGCAGCATTCATATTACAATCAAAGAATTTACAGAATAAGGAAAAGGAATCTAAAGTAATTTTCAGTAGTTCCATACATCTTTATCTCGAATAATTTTCTAAAACATTCAAAGTACTAGACATTTTTACACTTTGAATCTCATATCGATTTCTAAAATAATCCTAGTTCGATGTAATATAGAACGTGGTTTTATGAGATAGATTTGAAGTTCGCAGCCATTAGCTCGATATTGTCTTCAGTTTACAGTACTTTACCAATGACAATACCGATTGCACAGGCCTCACCACGAGGAGGTTGCTGCGAGTGGAGGCCCAAGGCAGGTAGATGGAATCACAAGTTCTACATCTACCCACCTTTCACAATAAACCTTATAAATAACTTAAATCTTAACTATGTAATACTATCGGTACTAAAATCCCTCGGCGGATGACTTCTTTCTTGAGCCTAAACCTATAAAAAACTAAGTTCCCTCGTCGGTTGTCTTCGTTCTTCAGCTTAGAACTAATATTATCTTAATATTCTAATTAATTCGAATTAATGCTATTAATACACAATAACTTCAACTAAACGCAACGTAGTCGCTAATACTCAAACGAAAGAGATAGACGGAATGGAAAAAGTTCCATCGATCATTTCGTTTACGCACCTAATATTCTATATACCAAGCAGTTATTAAGTCTACGATGAACTACGCGTTAAACTACAGTATGAACAAGTATCGCGATGAAAGTGTTGTCGCCAGAACCTGGTTTAAGAAAATAGGAAAGACGGGCGACACCTCGCTAACCCGGATCCATCTTTTACTGTCATGGAGCTTTGGGCTGGTCACCTGCGTACCAGACCCGAACCAAAAGAGTACACAAGCATGGTAGTGCAAGCGAGATTCTCTGTTAAACAGAGTCCGTTTACGGAGCAGCCTCCCGACTACTCCGTACCCTGGCACGCACGAGTCTTTCTCCAAATCCTACTTACCAGGCAAAGACTAAACACGTCCGATATCTGGCTTCTCAATAGAAACCAGAGGGATCGGCAAACAGTCTTAGTGCACAGGCCCACTGCCCGTACCATAGGTACAGACCCACTGCCCGTACCCCAAGTCTGTGTAGAGAATCAACGAGCAAAATGAATTAATAATAACTTGGTATGCACAATGGATGGTCACAATTTAAGTCTATTAATAGATAGACTAAAATTAATAATAAACGATGTGATGATGAATATGAATATAACAATGAATATCGAATTATGATTTAAGTTTAACTTACAGTAACTTAACGCAGTGGTAGACGCACGCTTTGAAGATGTAGACGTTGATCGATGTCTTCTTTCGATGGAATAACTGTTTGGAAAAATATTTTTCATTATACAATACACATAGAATACATAATATGCACAGTAGATAAATCACAGTAAATAAATCAAAGTAAATGAATCACAGTACATAAGAAGTTAAATATCGAAGCCAATGGTTCTCGAACATCTGTAACATACAAGGGATTAGTAACAAGAGAGGGGACACAACAATATGCACAGTAAATAGATTAATAATATGCACAGTAAATAAAGTAACTGGTTGTCGAATGCCTGAAACACACAATAGGTTAGTAATACGAGAAAGGACGAGTTGAGACACGCACCCACCCTCCACGACGGCTCACGAGAAAGTAAACAAGCACGGGATGGTAGTTCTCACTGCGGCGAAAATTCACGTTTTTGATGCGATGCTCGGAAACCTAAGCGCGTGAGCAAGTCAGGGGACCCCGTTTGGATCCCGCGGCAGTTTTACTTTTTATTTTTAATTATTTTGTAATTTCACTTTGTAACCTCTCAATAAAATAGAAATTTGAAAAATATTGATTAGTAAGGCATTTAAAAAGAAGAAAATAAATGTGTTCCACTTCAGTATTTTTATTTTTTTAATTGGAGGTTATTCTGTATGCTATGGGGCGACCCCCGAGGGCTCTTCTTTAGAAAAACAGACCATAGTTGAACTCGAATGGATTGAACGTAGTTCCCAAATTCACCGTTCTTATAACATAGAAGGCAGCCAAAAATCCCTGGCTTTTTACACGATCGGTATTTCAGAACATGAGACACGAAGTCCCATAAGATGATAGGTCGTCTATTCTATACCTTGTCGGTGGTGGTAGCTTGTCAATAACTTAAAGCCGGATATTTAAATATACACTCAGATTTTCTTTTAGGAACAAAATACTAATAGATGTATAAGTACCTTAAAGAATTGATATTTCTGTTGCTCACAAAAGTATATTCTTTTCATACATTCTTCTTTTCAACTTACGCTTTTTAGTGGTGTGGTAATACATATTTTCCACTGCGTATATATGTATTTTGTAATTGTGTTCTGATGTCCTAATTTGTAATTGTAAGTGAAATTTTCCTTTATGTCATAATTTCTCTATCATAAATGAATATTTACATGAATAAATAAATTTTAATTTTAGAATTACAGACGAGTTGCTATATTTATTTGTTTACATTTCTTATTCTTCGAAGTACCCCTGTCATACTAAGTTATATACAATGGTGGTACTCTTATTTATTCGATTGAGATATTGATATAATTACATTGCATAAATGATTTAAAAGTAGTAATTTCTATTTATGGCTCATTCTTTATACAAAGTACTTATGCAGCTGCATAAAACGATATAAAATAGGAAATATTCGGAAAAAGTATACAAAAATTTGTTTTCTGTTTACATATGTTTCAGACACTACGAAATCTACTACTAAATTTCTAAATTTTTATGATATTCTGTGGAATAAAATTTTGATCTAAATCTAGAAGACAATAATAGTAAAGTATTGAAGCCACTCATTAACCGAAAAATAAATACCTGGCAAAAATTAATATTGTGAAGGAAAGAATTTATGCTTTTAAATTAAATTTACAAACATAAAAATGAGTGCTCCAATAAGTACAGCAATGGATAGCTTATCAGCTGCAATTAAATCTAACATAATTCCGAATCAAGAATATTTATTACAAGGATCAGTGTTGGATAGTGCTGTAGAAGTGCTACTTCATAGGTTACGTGGTTTATGTGATAATGTTGATACTGGACCAGAAACTTTCAATGATCATGAAATATGCTTCAGTATCAGGTAAATAAAATTAATTTAATGATAGTATTAAAAATATCCAAGTAAGTAAAGAGAATATATATTTATTGAATCTTATCTGCTTCAGAGGATCAGAACAACCTCTACTTCTACGTGTAAGAAGAGCATTGGATTATCAGGATATGCCATGGCAATTACGTTATATTGGTCAACCAGAATTGGGTGACAAATCTCGACCTACAATTGTTAGAAGCAGTTTAGATATAGCGACCAGTAATACAGTTGTTGATTTCTTAACAGAACTTGGATGTAGATTAGATTTTGAATATATTGCCCGTGGTTATATGTTTCGTAAAGGCAGAATGAAAGTCACAGTTTCTAAAATATTTAAAATGGCTCAACAAGGAAAAATGCCTGAAAGTATGGAAGCTATATCTCAGAGCTATTTAGTGGAATTGAGTGTTTTAGCACCAAGTGGTCAAGATGCAATAGCAGAAGATATGAGAATTTTTGCAGAACAGTTAAAACCCTTGGTTCAGCTTGAGAAAATTGATTATAAAAGACTTGTTCATTAATTTAACAGTTTCAAAGGAACCAGTATTGTATCTTAAATTGTATTTATAAGATTTGTAAATCTTTTTATAGAGTTGTAAATAATGAAATATTTTATAACATATAAGAGTGAATTATTTTTACATTTTAATTAAATTAATATATAGTATTGATATATACTTACATATATATAATTGATCGCCTTTTAAATTTAATTATTAGTGCATTGACGTCTATATATGTATATTGAATAGTATTTCATACTCTACTGTTTGTACAATGTGAGTCAAACTAGAGTATCTATCGATTTTTCGTAAAATATTTATTTTACGTTACTTATTCTGTTAATTGAATAATTGGATGTTTTGTTACTGAAATAAAATCGCTATTTTATAATAAATTGATCTTGTTCAATGATGCTTACAAATAATTTCTAATTAAAGCAAAATAAAGCGTTAATTTTTATGTAGATAGTTAAAAGACTTTTTTAACTAGTTGAATATACTAAATATATATGGATCGGAAATAAAGATTAGTTTGTAAATTAAAACACATACGAGATCGAGAGATTAAACATTCATTTGACTAGAAAGTAGAAAGCAATATACAACATGCACCAATGCCATCTTAGAAAGGAGGCCACGGAAGAAGAATAACGCTACACGCGCCACCATTTTGTGGGCATTTCTACTTGTGCAGTTCAGAGAGACGGTTGTGTGTGTTACAAAGTTTTAGAAGCTTTAATAAATTTATCCACCTAAAATGTGAGTAAAACATAATATTTCCTTTATAATAAACTTAAAGTTTTTTGTTTGTAATGACTTATAAAAGTATCATGGATAAACGTGGAAAATGCTATAAAATTTCCATGGCGTCGGTTTCTGTTAGCTCTGATGCAGGATAGTCTCTTATGTTATTTCTGTATTTGTGGGTATAGAAGTCCAACAAAAAGTTAATATTTGTTGCTGCAGCATTCTAAATAATTTGATATAGTTTACTTCGTATATATTGAAGTACTTAAGCTGATAAAATTAGTTTCTGTGATTGTAATAAATTGGGAGCACAACATGGCGGTATTCCGACTTTCCTTTCTCAGTATACTCGGTTAATTTTAGTGTCTAATTTGTAAATATATAGTTAAACTTGTATGTATTTGATTTCATTCAAACATTTTTTAGCGTAATATATTAGTCATATCTGTTCTGGAAATAATTGCATTGAACAATAGATATTTCATGACCGGTCGATATTTTTTTTAATATACGTAAACTGACAGTAGATGTCGACAAACTATTCAGCATTCAATTATAGATTTGCTGAAAATATTTGTAGTTATGAAAGAGATGTTAATATTTGTAGTAACATGTATTACGAATGGAATTAATGTAGTGATTTTGTAAAAACAATGAGATGAAAAAATATTTTATGAGAGGAAAAAGCACGAAAATATATAGAATAATAATTAATGACACATATTTAGAGTGACTTGCATGTATTTTATAGAACATTTGACTATGCTTAATCCTTTTCGTACCTTAGAGCCGATATATCGGCTTTGTGGTTTTTCGAAAAATACCTTGTGCCGATATATCGGCTTTCCATTTTTAATATAAATTTAAACACATTTAATGAGATTATATTTTGATATAATAAGTTTATACAGTGGAACATATGTTTACTGGATAGGAATATGTATGTTTCATTAAATTTTTGCCTTTGATGTTATTGTATGTTAATTTTAATACATACCTGGAAAATCATATATTTTTCAAGGTATTTTTGCATGGTATCTGGAATACTTATAAGGTACTATGAGGATTAAAGTATTTAGTACATATCTTTCATTTACAGTAATTATGACAGTATGGTGTATTTAAAATTGGTAATAAGACTGTTATTATTTACAGACGTAAAATGTCACGTTATCGAGAATGGGACCTTTCGTGCAAAGTTTATGTTGGTAACTTGGGGAGCAGTGCTAGCAAACACGAAATTGAAAGTGCATTCAGTAAATATGGCCCGCTTAGAAATGTGTGGGTTGCCAGAAACCCACCTGGATTTGCTTTTGTGGAATTTGAAGATCCACGAGATGCAGAAGATGCAGTTAGAGGATTAGATGGAACGTATGTCTACTTCGAATATGTCCATTTAATATTTCATATGTATATGTGCTTTTCGTTCTGTAATGTTTTATTACATAATGGGTTAATAATCATTACATAATGAGATACATTAGAAGGATAATGAATTGTATATGTGAAAAAATTGTTTATAGACGCTGTTGTGGAACCAGAGTAAGAGTAGAGATGTCCTCTGGGAGAAGTCGACGTGCTGGTGGACGGAGACCAGGTCCAAGATATTCCAGGTAAGGCATCTGAAAACTTTAGATATCTGCATTTTACAGCAACATTTGAGCTGCTGCAGATGGCTAAGTGTCTTGCCAAGTAGGTATTACAGTGCAGTTAACAAATAAGAATGTTAAGAAATGCACGGATTTCGGTGAATTTTTGTTATGCACAGCGGATATAAATTGATACTTTTTTTACTTTGGATAGGAATGCAGATAGAATATACTATGCACTGCAATTTATTTGATTTTAATGCTCTTTTGGCTACTGTTCCCACATGAATTAGACGACAAGAAATAAATTTTTCTTAAGGTTCTCAAAATACTAATTTAATTGTTGATCTAATAAATTTGAAAATTTACGATATTAGCCAAAGAACAATCAAATAGACTGCATGGGAAATGGGAGTTGCTGGGGCAAAGGTTTAGTTATGGTAAAGGTAGTGATATCACTAAAGGCTAATTTTTTTCCTCATTGTAATCTCCTTGTGAATATGCGTAGTGAACAACAAGATTCACATACCATACATCTTTCTGAAAACCTTATAGGTCCAGATCTCGCAGTCCTCGAAGGAAATCATTGGGTCATTACCCAAGGTAAGATTTTTCTAGCCTTATTCACCGTCAGTTTTCAGGTGCGACTAGACAAAAGAAAGAAATCAAAGCGAATCACGGTGATCGGCAACATTATGAGCCGTCTGAAACGTACAACACTTTTTCTTAATTTTTTTTAGGTCCTGCTCAAGAAGTCCGCGAGAATCACCGATAAGTCGTTGTTCTAGGTAATTGTTTTTATTTTGTAATTTCATCAAATTTTCAGGGCCTTACCAAGAACGAACAACCACTCTACAAGTTGCAAGTATGTATTTGCAAGTACTGCTTGTATTGTGATCATCGCAATTTTGCACGCAGAATCACAATGTATCATATTATAAAACATGTAGAATAATTTATATTCGAAATGTATTGAACATTGAGAATTGCGCAATGGTTAAAATTGGTGGTTAGAAAGTGTTCATTGATTGGCATAAGTTGGAGAGGACAGGACTATAATAAAGTGCGGTAGACGGAGGACGAAGATATAATTGAAAACACTGAAAAAAGAAATAGTAAGAATTAGTTGGAAACAATGAAATTCGTTCGGTGCACGGAAAGTAGCACCGGTGGCATATAAACATAAATAGTAGCGGTGTCTGGTGTTAATTTTATCATTCCAAAGTAATTTATTCCTAAAATATAGAATCTGATTGATTTTACTTTGTAAGTATCCGAAATCAAAAGTTATTCGGTATCTGAAGACTAAGTCTCTTCATATTAAAACAAATTGGTAGATTATAAAGAACTTAAATTGAACTCTATTGTTTCAGTTCTTTAAGAAACAGTTCAGATATCGAATGAAATACAAATTTAACATAGAGATTTATTGATTAGTTTTTTATGTCATACAAAAATTCTAATATCAGAATACACACTAATGTGCAGATAGTAGAAATACACTTAATTTTATTTATCGTACATGCATTGAAGCAATCATTGATCTCAATTACCGTCTGTGTGTTAACATTATAAAGATGAATTTTATTTTTCTTTAAGAATACAAATTACTACTTTCAACATATTGCACTATGCGTTACGATAAGTATCTAAGGGATAAGTTGAGAATTGTACATCCATCATATAAGTTTAATCGATCAGCTGCAAGTAGAGTCTTCTTTTGTACGCATTAGAGTGGGCAGTCTAGGATTAATCGTAACGAAACTATCGCCGATAAGTGAAAAATGTGCAAATTTGTAAATTCGGATTAAGGAACACTCGTGTATACCGATAGTGGCCAGGAGTATGATAACTTTGATGGTTATATTGCTAAAACTGACGTTTGCAGATTCTACCAGCGTCAGCTCCTAGCTCTGCTCGTCTCCCCGCCACTACTACTACTGCTACTACTACTACTACTACTACTACAGCCACCGTGAAAAAAAGTCTAGCAATCAAAACTGAACAAAAAAAAAAGCCTGCCTGCCCACTAACTTCCCAACCAGTCACCATCAGTCACCACCAGTCACCGGTAGGAGCCAAGTCGTCAGTCAGTTGACAGTCCGATGCTGTCCGTCAGTCCGTCAGTCCGTCTGTTCCCCTTCAAAAAGACTTCTTCGGGCTACCTCAACCTCTAGCGGCTAGGAGCATCGTGAATCCATCGAACAGCCGACGCGATATGAACGAATACTTCTGTCAAAATCTCAGCGCGTCAGTCCGTCCGTCCGTCCCAACTTCTACTACTACTACTGCTACTACTACTACTACTCGTCAACCATCACGTTAAACTTAGCCGACAACGCGACCGCCACTTCTCTTCAACTGAGCAAAGCAAAATGATCACCACCTACACACCATCCCACCACCACCCAACCAAGTACCACCACCACCAACCACCACTACATGTTCACAATTGTCTGGTATTTCACCGATTTTCAAAGATTTTTTATCTTTTTTTTTTTAAACTACCGTGTCACGTTCTCTGGGTTCCAATAACAAGTATTTCCACGAAATAACTTTACGTTTGTTTAACAGATTGATGTAAGAAATGTAAAATATTTTCTATCGTTATTTTGTTTCTGTTACGTTGAGAATGATTTTATTTATTGGACCAGGGAACTGTCGCTTGGTACATAATATGCATTTATCATATATATATATGTATATAATGAATATGTATGGTTTATATGGTGGTATATATACATATATGTATATATTGAGCGGTTATTTGTAAAGATTTAATTTAACCAAATTAATCCTACTTTCGTTTATTGGATTCTCATTATTGGTGAGATGTCATTTTGTATTAATTATTGTGTCTAACTAGTTTTATCACCCCTTAGGCAAATAGGAATTAGCCAGTCCTAATTCTATTACGGTTGCCTTGCAATCATTTTTGTACCTATGTGTTCAAAGTGCGACCTTCTGTTTCGTCTCACGTTTCATTTTACAAAGTCTTCAATATCACTTTTAATTTTACTCAAATTTCTGCTATATTTTGTTAAACAGGTAACACTATTTTTGCGAAAGTTGATATAATTAAAATTGAGTATCGTCATGAAATCTTGAGACGAAGTGGGGGGTTGTACATTAATGAACTGTTTTTTAACATGAGTAAAAGTGGTATAAAATGTTCTTTTAATATTTTAGGTCAAGGTCCCGTAGTCCTCGCAGAAGATCACTGACCCGTAGCCGCAGCCGAGATCGTCGTTCTCGTTCGGATTCCCGTGACAGACGGTATTAACATTAACACAAATTAACAAACAAAACATGCAATGAAAGTAGTATTGAAGGAGAAATCAGATTTTACATATTAATTGAACAGGAATTCAAAATACTCTCCCCGATACGATCTATGATCGTAGAGAAGAGGAAAAGAAAAATTACTATTTACAAGTTGACTTTCGTTGAGAATCACTCTGTGATATCAGTAGATTTAAATGTTCGCATTGTGACACATTTTTTTTATTTTTTTTCATGGAATTCATCTGCTATTTTTTATCCTCTTTACACTGAAATTCCTGTTTGCAGCGTAAAGCGGCGACATTAGAAGGTCGCGGATCAAATTAACGTTTTCTAAGTGCATTCTCTATTTACTTACAGTTAGGTGCTAAAAGTGTTCGAGAGAACGGACCGACTAATTGTGCCGGATGGAAGACAAAAGAAAACCAATTTTATATGTACATAAAAAGACACACACACACATACATACATACACACACACAGAAATAATAATTGTTTCCACGCGTGCAGACTCGAACGAAGCAATGATGATAATTGAGTATGGCATTTTATAAGATGCGAAATCAGACACGTACGCAATATTTTCAATTCAAGATGGTAACTTTGGACACGCTTAAAATGTGACCTACGTGCGTAATTATTATTCTTATCATCAAGACACCCGGTACACGCGTTCATACGTGTATAAAACACATACATTTCACACTATGTTCAACGTACGTGTACTACATATATACACACAAGATGCAATATACACGCATATAAGATTTTTTTGTGACGCGAGCTATCGAGTACGTTGATCTCCTCCGGAATGTGCTCATTGCTTTAAAGTGTACGAGTGCGAATAAGAAATTCGGTTACAATTGAGAATAATTAAAACAATGATCAATATAACGGTGAGTGTTTAACTGATGGGACAAGATTGGTGCTGACTCGAGTCAGAGACGTTTCGGTGTGACAGAAAAAAAAGAGTTACGGATACAGGAGACGGTCGTTTTATGTTATATTAATTATTTTGTACTCTTACGGATTTAAGACTCTAAAATAAAAGTGTACCGTATTATTATTCTGGCTTTCCTATTGCAAGTAGCGATTTAATGTCTATTAATAATAAAAATATTAAAGTAGTAACGCATCAGTTTTTTTCCATTCATCGTTCCTTTATGTACTTGCTGTACAGGTTGATTGTCTCGCTGCGCAAGCCAAAGGCTTTGTCGCTTTATAGAATTGCCGCACGGTGGTGCGAAATCCCTAAACCGTGGCACAAAATTCCAAAATTTCTTTTGTAGTAGAAATTGTAATATTTTGTGGTTTGTTATATAAAATGAAACGAATACATGGTAAAGATTATAAAAAATATCTCTTTAAATATAAACGGTGTGGTGGGAGCAATTTTACATTCCAAGGGAGCAAACTGGGAGCAATTTTTTAAGATATAAATTGTTAAGAAACACTAATATTCGGCGCTATATATTTTTCGCTCCAGAATTCTTAGTACATTGACTGCCACCAACTGCCACAGTGAAAAGGCAGTACTTAACCAGACACACTTTCTTTTGTTTTTTAAATCACAAATTTATTAGTTAATTGAGGCTGTTGGTCTTGATTTAAATTATGGTGTGATTAATTTTATACAAAAAATTTGTAATGGTATTTAAATGATTCAGCCTCTTTGCAATGTATGGTGGCACCCATATTTGTGTGACATTTCAGTCAAAATGTTAGAGCGGCTTTTGGTTTGCGCAGTGAGAGAATCATCCTATACATATCATACATGTTTATTTAATATTATAAAAATGTAATTAAAGATTATACTGTATTTATTTAATTGTATTTTTAAATGTAAGCAGAATTTCCCAAAGTAAGCATACATAAACGAACACCCTGCTGGCAAAGGTGGTAGTCTCGTATGGGTAAAGCCAGAGTATCGTCTAATATTTTCAAAATTTCTAAGTACGCTTTCAGTGCGTCCAGGTTCTTTCCTTCTTCTAAATATCTCGAGGCACTTTTAAAAAGTACGTCTGTATCCTGTAAGGCTTTCAAACCCTTTAAAATATTTGTGTTATTGCCACATTTAGAGCATTTCACCATGAACTCGTTTGTGTCTGATCTTATTAGTAAAACGTTTCCGCATGCTGGCCCAGTATCGCACTTGAACCTGTAGAAATAAAATGAATTTCATAGGTGACTACTGGAATAGATTTCAGAATGTTTAGTTCAATAATAGTTTCAATTTTCAGAACATTTATTAAGTTGTGGGATTAAAAATTGTTTCTGTGAGTTTTCAGTTAAAAGTTTCTGTAATTCAACGAGTAAAAGTGAATCGTATAATTATTAATATTTAATGATATTCAACTAATTGTATCCATTAAATGAAAGTATAAAATTGTTAGATTAAGTGTAAGTTTGGACGTATTTATAAAATTTTCCACTAAGGCGGTTTGTTATTTTTTTCATATTTAATGTTGCGTTATTTTTTATTTAGGGCAATGTCTATTTTAGGTAATACCTTAGCATTGTTGGATCAATTTCATCTAAGAGAGGCCAATGTGCCGAGCATGCCTCGCATCTGCAATCGAACCAATATTGCCATCTGAGTATCCTCTTCCTTTCAACTTCCGGAGATCTTGTGAAGATTGGACCGTAATTTTCAGAGATCTCTTCCCCCGGTGCAATAGAACGGATAGCTCGTACAACCATAGTAGTGCCGACAAAGTATCTACATGTATGAACATAATATTTATAATTTACTGCTCTATAAAAATGCAAACGATTATAATTTGCAATTTATCTCTGTACAAGGGCATAAACTTATAAAATATTATTCTTCCCAGTTTCAATTTTTATTACTATTTACTATTTTACTTACTGTATTATTTATACTTCCTGTTTCATAGTTTCTAAATTTACAAAAATTAATTTTACTTCTCACATAAAGAATTCTTTCATTACAATCATTACCTGATGATACCAGGGTTGCATGAATGATTGAATAATGACACTGTTGGGTAAAGTCCACCACCAATGAATATACTCTTAGCTTTTGACAATGTTTTGTCGCTTCGCGACATTGTCAGTTCTGATATCTGAAAATTTATAATAGTAAAGTAATAAGTAAATTTTCTAATTTATTACTAGCGTTTCTGACAGCTGTATGATTTACCTCGTGGGCATTGAATTGTAGCAACATCAGACTATGTAAAATTAAACCACCGATATATAATTCACCCTCGGAAGGTTTTGCTTCTACCGTGTCTGGAGTTTTAACATTTTCTGGAAAGTATGGTCCTTTTTTTAAAAGTCTCAGCAGCCACATTGCTATGTAAGTTCTATGGAAAAGATCTTTTGTAGTTCTTTCATTTTCATGGGTTACTGTGTGAAAAAGAAATGCGAATTTATATTAATGCTTAACTAAATACAGTAGATTAGACTTTTCATAACAATTACTGTTACGTCAACATTATCAGACTCTTTGTAAATTCACATTTTAATAGATTATCAATTCATAAGAATTGGACTTAAAGTGTACATTTGGTTTAATCGTAAGAGTGTGAATATCGCAAAAAGAGAATAAAAACGTTCACTGTGACCTAAGAAAAGTTCCAAAAATTCATGTATTCTATGTACATATATAATCCATAGTCTTAACGATTATTTAAATAATTACTCATTCCATAGAAGGCTTCGAAATCTTGTCCTCTGTGAGGTTTGTGTACCGTAACATCGAATCTACCCTTCGAAGTCTTTAGCTTATCTTTAAGTTGAATCAGTTCATCGAAGGGTCGCTGCGTGACAGCTCGCAACGCTAAGAAACACGTTATCGAAGTGTTTGAAGACCACAATGTGGGCAGTAATACGCACTCGTTTTGATGCACTTTTGCATCCGCGTCTCTGCAACGGAGGCTGCAATAAGCTACGCAACAGCATATATTGCACGCAGCTGGTAACGGTGCGAATATTCTTGCCAAACAAAAGTGACAGTGAGTGAGCCTGAAACGAAATAGAAAATATTAATTTCTTATTATTCCCTAAAAAACGAAGCAAGTTAATTTAAAAATGATTTTATTGAACTCCTTTTATCGTCTTCAACTTCATATTCGTGTCAATTCGTGTGCCTACTTAACCCTTGCGTAGGCAACCGGGTACCCCTGCACCCAGGTAGGTACCTATTTTTAAATTTCTTTTCACAAATTGTTATGTTCTTGTCTAAGGAACACTTGGTGTATTATAGGAAGGGAAAACTAGGAGTTTCAGAAAAGTATCAATGTAAAATAATCTATATTGATCATCCTTTAGATAACCTGCCACCTTCTCTAGATTACAAATTTAGTAAAATATTGATCATAGTTTAGATAACTTGCCACCTTATCTAGATTACAGATTTCTTTATCTAATCTGTCAGAATAGAGGTATTCCGATTGCTCAATAATCGTGATTATTTTGGTAGCTCACGCAAGGTTTAAAGTATTAACAACTAAACGCAGATACTTCACAGTGTGCTAATATTAAGAAATAGATGATATCGAAAGGTTCGAAATAATCGGTATTAAACAATAGATAAACAAATCAAAGTACTCAATCATCTAGTATCAATTTCAGGACACTGATTTGCTCAGTTACATGCATCGGAAAAAGGTAATTAATAAAATATATAGATTTTGTAAACAATTGTACCTATATTCAGCTAATAACAACGCGCAGTGTGGTTTCTCTATTACCAGTATTTCGCCCGGCTCAATATTTTTGGTAGCAACGGCATGTCTTCCTATGTCACCACCGTCGTCTCGAATTTCAACCGCTTTGCTGCATGCAGGATACAAAGGATTGCAATCCTCTATTTTTAGAGTTAGTTTCTTAGGTTCGACGCTTTTTTCCAAGCTTTTCTTTTGGGGTAATTTTGTAGTCTTCTGGGCAATCTGATTGCCTCTTTCCATTACGGCAAGCATGATTCTAATATTCGATTCGAACTTCTGTTTCTTTTCCACACACAGTTTCGTGTCGTCTAGAGCTTTTAAAGCGTTGCGGAACGCCGCCATAGCCTCGGCGTGTTTTTTCAGACCGAGCAAGCATTTAGCACGTCTCTCCTGGATTTTATAAAACAATTCCTTTGGGTAACCGACCCGTATAGCTTCCTCGGCGTCTATCAGAGCGTACTTGTGAAGCTCCAGATAATAAAGCGTCGCTGAACGATTTGCTAATATCACACCCAATTCTGAAAAATTATATTTATACATTATTCGATAAATAATTTCATTTATTCCATGTTTACTTTGTCACCTGATTGTGCTTTAAAAAGCAATCAAAATACCTCATTATACAGGCTGTTTCGAAAAATGTGGGATACTTTTGAGATTAATGAGGTTTAATATTTGATTTGTAAGCTGCTTTTTGTTCCGTGGAAGTCAGAATCACCCTATGATAGTATGTGTCATTTTTCTCATTTTTCATACGGAATACTTGTACCCATGAAAATACTATTAAAAACTCGCCTTTCGTCTACAATTGGTATTACATGATAATAATCTTATATTTTCCAATTTAAAATACATTGCCATATGACGACAGTGGAAACGAATAGGTAAAGTCAAGTACTTGTCAAAGTGAAACGGTGCCGATGTAAATAAGAGATTGACCATTTTTTTTTGGTATCTCTGGAAGACTACAAGTAAACAGGTCGAAAATATTATTTAAAAAAGCTACTTGAAAGTTATATGTTACTCATTCTTACGCGTTTTTTGGTATACTCACGAGGAAGAACGAATGGGACCATGGGTCCTAGGTGTTATAGAACGCACGTTGTTCAGAAAGTTCAGAATATTTCGAGGGTAGCGTCTAAGTTACCTTTTTACTGGATGTAAGAAAAATCGTTTGCTCTGGTGAACAGGTACTTGCGATAGTTTCCAAGTGCAAATTGAATATAATTGCTGTACAAGTTATTCGTCGTTTTTTTTTCTGTGAGAAATACCGACGATATATCAAAATTTGTTCGTTATGTTCTATCAAACTTGTAAGAAAATGGCACTATTGCGACTGGAAAATTTTATAATATCTACCCAATTCATTTCATTCCGCACCATCAAATGGTTATTCCTTTAGATCGTTAGAATATTCCGTATCAAGAAAAAACATCAAAAACAACATCCATTTATTTAGAAGTCATTTGAAGAAAAATGGAAAGAAATTATATAAGAAAGTAATAAATAAGGACATCATACGAATTGAAAAATATAGACTGTAACTCTACTCTTGAAAACCACGAACTTTCCGAACCATCAAATAGTTTAGAATTTCAAAATGAAGAACTTTTACAGACTTTTTTCATTATTGTAATACATAAAACTGAACCTTTTAAAATATATCCCATATTCTTAAAAACATCCCTGCATAAATTTCATAGTATTACTTTAAGTGGATTTTAAATTTATTTTTACATATAAAATATTAGTTCATATAATATAATATTTTCTCCTCTGGGGGAGCGGCAAAATCCAATTTTTTCCTTGGGGGGGGGGGGGGGCGGGCAAATGTTGCTGGATTTAAACGACGATAAAATAATTGCCATGTTATTATAAAATCGACACGATAAATAATCGCACCAGGCGGGATAATTCATGGAAAGTGTGCCGATTGTTGTCGGTGCGATAAATTATAACGCTTTTAATAATGTTAAAATTATAAAGCTTTTAATAATGTTAAAATAAATACAGCCGATACTATCGCCAATCGTTAAATACCTTCCCGAGGTGCCATCAGGACAGCGTTCGAGTACAGTTCCAGGGCCTTTCGGAATTCGCCGCGGCCGAAGTACTTGTTACCGATGTCCTTGAGCTGACGAGCTTTCTCGCTGCTCTTCAGTACCTGATTGTCCGTGTCTAAGGACAGATTGTACGCCTCCGGGTACCTCAATAGGAAACCGATTCTATCCGAGCTATTGTTCAGGGCCGCGAATCTTTTCATGTCCTGCGGACTGATAGCATCTTGCAGTTCCAACAGGTTCGAGCTGAAGTATTTGCTGATTTCATTCTCCGATTGGTCCCTCAGCATTTTTCACGTGTTTCAAGTATCAACTTTCTCCTGTTTCTGTATATTTATACGACTGATTCGGAGGAAAAAAAGTTTATAATGCTCGTTTAACTTTTAACACAGCGTTTGATAGTTCGTTTATGATCGTTCTATGAAGTTTCATCGAAGAAGATTTTTTCACGAGTTTATTTTATTTTTCGTTAGATTTTTGAATGTGGCGAGCGTATCGAGAAGAATTCAGGAGTTGTTTGTTTTCTTTACTTTGTATCGAACCACTAGAATTTTAATTGTTAAGAAATCTTTTGCTTTTTTAGCGATATCGTCCCATCGAATAGTGGTTTAATTTTTTATGAAAACTAAGACAGAACCTGCATCTGGAAGACACTTTGCCGGTTGACGACGCCCGGAGCTACTGGCATCAGCTACTTACTCTCCCGAAAACTACGCTTGTCTATTTCTGTTCACGCTATTTTTGCCGGCGCAAGAGTTAAAGCTCTCTGATACGACAAGGAAGTACGACAGAAGCATGTGTTACAGTTGGAACGGAATTGTAATGCATGTGACTTTTTCTGCAAATTAATTTATCTTTTTATACAGAGAGAAATCGTTAGAGTGTTTCACGGTTGCCATTTTGGAAATGAAAGTTGTCAAAAAGTTAAGGTGTGCATATTACTGTTCGAAAGTTACCATTTGTTTTGTCACCACAGTTTTTTTAAGGCTAGTTTCGATAATTTTTTAAGGCTAGATTTTTTTAAGGCTAGTTGCCATTTTGCGAATAAAAGTTGTCAAGAAGTTAAGGTGTGCAAATTACTGTTCGAAAGTTACCATTTGTTTTGTCACAAAAGTTTTTTTAAAGCTAGTTTCGATACCAATGTCGACCAAAGTTACATCTAAAATTACAGAAAGAAAAAGTCATTCAGTGAGAAAATTCAGTTCAGTAATCAGAAAGGTTCAAATTCAGTGCCATTGAGGCATTCATTATTTCCGAAGGTGGCTTCTATAATGTTCTGTTTAAAACAGCAAGGATATTTCTACAACTGTAAACACTGTTAGTCTTTATAGAATGTCTGTATGTAATTTTATTGTTTTTAATAGTTTCAGTTTATGTTTGATAAGAAGTAAACAAAGAAAAATGTCAAATCGATGATAAATTAAACTGTGTCCTAATTTCAGCTATGGTGAGGATAAAAGTATTCATAATTAGGATTAAACTGTTAACGAAAAACAATTACGAATGTTAAAAGATAAATGGTTTATGTACATTTAAAGTGACGTAAGCTACATACATATATTATATTTAGATGTGGTGTTTTGTTACGGAACCTTATAATCTAATTTAAGTACAATATATACAAAATCTAAACAACGTACAAAATTTGGATATGAAATGTACACGAATGCAGTATTTGCCTATAAAAGAAAAAAACACAGAATTGTAAAACTAAATTTTCTGCAGTCGAACATATCGATGATGTATGTGTAAACGAAGACATTTCATTATTAGAAGTGTGGTTTATACGTTAATTAAAAAGATCATGAAATTACGTGAAGAAATCTGAATTAACCGTAAGTCTAAAAAATTTGTGCCTCTTCGTAATTATAAGAAAATATAATAAGTGTTACGAACATTATAATTAATGTTGTTATTTTTGTTAACTAGACCTTTTGTAATAATGTAATTTACAACTCAATAATTTCTTTCCTTGTCACGAATAAAATTACAGTGCGACGAAGTTAAAAATGTATAGTGTCCGAATATTAAAGTTACTCACTGTACAATGATGAATGGATTAAATTACATCAATCGTATTATTAAAAATGATTAAAAATTTGGTCTCAAATATATAGTTCGTCTAAATTATTTGATAGAAAAATTGTTTTATAAATACATACATACGTACATGCTTCTCTTCTATTGTTCGCAATGAGTACGACCGATACGGAACAAATAAAACGGACTTGACAGACATAGGATTACAAATATTATTTTAATTTGCATTTATGTAGCTGCATTACTTTGTTGTTATATTTATACGAGAAAATTGTTCCACACCAAACGGAACTCAAATAAAATATATCTGACATTAACTTTCTTGAATTAAATTAGAAAACGTGAATGGAGGCTCAAGCATTTAGTTCACAATTCAGTACTCGTATTAAATACTCCCCGAGGAATTACTCAAACTGTACAGTGTGACAAAGGAAGTCTCCATCTTTTCTTCACTGCGACATATAAATCTGAAATTCACGTATCAAGTATCAATTCTATTAGATTCTTCTTTCGAGGCCCCTACTGTATCTGCAATAATTGCAAAATATTTAAAATTTCTGCAATTGCAAAGATCAGACTTTCTGGATATACATTTTAAAAGTACGAATGGACGACCGGTCATTTCTGTCTCATTAACCCTAATAATTTCTCGTTAAGTCGAACGATGAACGTTCACTTCTCAGAATTCGACCGTATCATATATTTCGATACGTTAACAGAGCCCTGAAACGTGTTTAACAATCAAGACGATGCCTTTCCGTATTGTCAACAGATCAATTGCCGTTAATTTTGCTCTCTCAGAAATCATAGGACGCCTCGTCCTCTTCTTTCCTCGACCTGAACGCTATCTTGTAGAGTCCGCCAGCGACGCAGGCTCCCAGAATGGGCCCGACCCAATAGATCCACAGGTCCTTCCATATGCCCAGAATGACGGCTGGACCAAGTGTTCTGGCAGGATTCATGCTGCTCCCTGTGATGGGTACGGCTGCCATGTGAGCCACGGTGATGGTCAAACCGATCGCCAACGGTGCCCATCCCTTCGTGTCGCTCCTCTTCGGATCGGTCACTGCATGGACAACCAAAACCAAAAGGAATGTCACGATCGCTTCCATGAAGATACCTTGGCCTTCGGTGATAGACGTGCCGAGAGACGTGGCACCAAGATCGTGAATCCGCGTTGACGGGAGCAGTACCTGTGGGAACAAATAATAAGAAACTCTGTCACCCTTTCAGTTTTGTACATAAAGGGACAGAAAATTTGTATATTGACATTTCCGGAAGAGAAAAGATTAGAGAAGAACAAGAAGAAAAATAGGGAAAAGGATTAAGAGAAATGCATATAACTGAAAATTGAGAATATGCTTATACAAAGGATAATTCGAAGAATAAAAACAGGAATGAATATAGCGATGAAAGAGATGAGAAATATTGTTGCCTAGTTTGCCTAGAGCCATTCAGTAAGTACCTACACGTAGACCGAGCGGAAAAAGGGTATAATACCTAGAGTGTAAGGATTAATGATGTATTTGTCATAATTGATAATGTAATCCTTAATTGGGATAGATTCTTTGGGGGGGCTTCTTTGTCATAGGTTATTTATGAATTTGTCATAACTGTGATGTAATCCTTAATTGGATAATATCTTGCAATTTTCCTTTCATTTATTATAATTTAGTTGAATTCAAATTTTGATTGTTTTAAATTAAAATCGTGATATTATTGACCCCATATATAGTGTTACCACCTACCGGGGGTGAGGGTCGGTTGTAACATTGTCTCTCGTTTCTACTATTGATTGATAATTTCAATGTTATTAATCACAAAGCTAAACTGTTATAACTTCAATAATGTCAGATAGATATGTAAGCTTGGGGTATACAAAAACAGTTTATTGTAACTGAAATATTTCTTGCGAAACCGTATTCCCAAATTAAACTGTTACTTTCATAAAAGTATTTACTTATGAAAATGTCAAAAAGAAATTTAAAAGTAGAATGTATTAATATTTGATATTTCCCGACAAACTTTTAAATTCTATATATTATAATATCAAATTTCGTTGAAATATGTTATAATATCAGTTTTTGTCAAAATCAACTGGAAAATTTACAATCATATGTATAAAATTAGGATGTTGTTCGAGCAGTTTTAAAAACTTCAACAAAATAGGGGTCCAATTACTAGTCCTTTTCTTGTAATTGTGACACGTGTTGCGCTAACGATTCATGTTTCTCTTGTATTATCTTGCAGATGGACATTTCACTTCGTACCTTTTTGATAAACGCAATTCATTGTATCGTGTCACGTTTGATGATAATACAATCACAAGGGGCTAATAATAGCGTCTAACGAATGAACGGGACATCATGCATTTCGCCTATGTAATTCGCTTCGCTCTCGTTCCCGCCTGACGTGACTGATGTCAGCAAACATATACGTTGAGACCTTGACCTTGCCGAACTTATTAATTAACTCAGGATGATAGAAGACCTCGTCCATGACAACCGAAGAGCAGAAATGGAATGAACAAACGTTCGTACGGAAAGAAAGTTTCGTGCTCGTGAATTCAATTTATGTATTGCCATTAATATAATTGGACACGCTTATTTGAGTAAATGGGATGAAATAGCAGCACTTATAATAGAATATTCATTTTACCGATATTAGTTAGTCCACTGCGGATATTATGTGGCTGCGTACACGTGAATTCAAAGAACGTGATAAAATGAAACGTTAATAAAGGTTCGATGAAGGTTTTCTTTCATTTTCCACCCCTCGAAAGATTTAAACGGGACAACTAGAACTACCGGCGTTGAATGTATTTATACTAAATTATTGTAAAATATATAATATAATATAACATATTACAGGTAGTATATTTAAAATGTGTAATAAATTAAAAATCACCATAAATTCTGAAAAAAGCACCTTTATGATTTCTGTTATTGAGGGGCTTAATGGAAAAGAGGCACATGCCACATCTACATCGACTTTTAGTCTTTTGTTCCATGAACAAGCTCTAATTATCTGGCGTCCATTCCATGAACTTCAAGTACCGTGGTATGTACATTTCCATAAACAGAAAGCAAACAAACTCTTAGCGGAAAAGAGGCTCATGCCATTCTGTCTCCTTGGAGAACTTGTAATAAAAGAGGGGCTTAGTGGAAAACAGACACATGCCATAATGCTATAAATAAATTTACACAACCACTCCTTTAGAAAAAATAACTATAATTCAGGAAATTCGGTAATAACTCGTAGTTATTTTAGTTCATAGTTGAAGTCGCAATTATTACTGTGGAATCTTGACTTGAAAATTCATATCATATGAAAGAAAAGATTATGGCTATTCGGGCAAACATTTTTTTATAGAGACGCATGATTGTGCCTCTTTCATTTGGTCCGATTTAAGATGTGAAGAAGAAACATTTTTTTATTGTGAAAAAACGTATCATTTGATATGAACTTTTGAGTCAAGAGGTAACGTTAATTGCCATGTAATATCTACTTTAATTACCAAATAAAATAAGTATCAGTTAATACCGAATGTCCAGAGAAATTACTTTTCCTATAAGTTGTTGTCGTTTTAATTTTAGTGTTGTGGCATGTGGCCCTTTTCCATTAAGTCACTCAATTGTAAAACAAGAAATTTAAAATACGTTGTTTTGATGAGTTTGATTGTTCTACTGTTAATTGAGACAATAAATGCTCATTTAATTTTAGCTTGTAAAATATCTTCTTTAAATATGGATTGAATAATGGATTTAATAGATTCATATTTCAGTTGTTATATATTAAAAGAATATACATATACATTGATCTAACACGTATTTAATATGGTGATAGTTTTTCGTTCACTTCACTAGTTATTAGATAGTAACAAAAATATGCTAAACGCAGATTATTATGTTTACCTTCAAATTATATTTACCTTTCAGACTCTTGTTTTATTGGTACCATTATAATTTAATAGTAGCACAAATATGCTACACGCAGATTACTTTATTTACCTTCAAGACAACCTGCGATTGCGCCACAGCATTGACAGACTATGTAACATATTGCTTTGAGGAAACTGCAATTTCCGCTAACCAGAAGGCCAATTGATACAGCTGGATTCACATGACACCCTGAAACGGGTCCTAATACCTGAAAGAAAAGAGATATTCATTAGTCATTAGATATGTGTCATTATGTGGCCTTCAACCGAGAAAAATAACTAATTTCATACATGTAACTAAATATATATAACTAAAATAATTTCATGTATAACATCATATTATCGAAAAAAAAAACAGAATTTTTAATTATGTTTCAGTATTGTTGTTTATGTTTGCGTTATCGCATTTTTATTGTAGATATGGAAAACCGTTGTTTCTTTTCTGACATTAGCTGATTATTGATATATGAAATATATTACATAGGGTATGTATATATATACATAATATTTTATTTAAATATTATTTTTTATTATCATTTAAATATTTTTAATGATAATCTTACAATATTTAAACAATATTTTAAATTAAATATATAATATTTGGTAGCGTTTATCATTAGTATATTAATATCATGATAAAGTAGGTATTAACATTGTATAAATAGATAATATTATATATAAATAAATGTGAATGAAATCCATTATGTAGTATATTTGCTTTTGTAATTAAGTATGATATATGTATAAGTATCACATTCAACCACTTTGACATATTCTTATGTATTCTATTTACCATGTATGTAAAATGTCTTTTGCATTAAGCTCCCGAAGTTTTTTAAACCACATCCATTACACACTCGTAACCGAATTAGATGTAGGTATCCTACAAAGATAAATCTATCGTTTTGAATTCAGAAGAGCGACGAATACTTGCGTCTTATCAGATTTCAGATTGTCGCATAAACACGTACAATTTTATACCTATTCCTCGAGAAACAGGTTGCAGGTGTACAACAGGTCACGTGGAAAAACACCAGTCCGCGTTCTAAAATTCGTCTACGCGGTCGCCCTTGCAAAAATCGGCCGGTTCTAATTCAAATTTCACAATTGCCGGGCTACGGTCCGTTGATATACGCGCCGATAAAAAAGATCTGAAATTTATCTTGCGGTATGAACCATTTCCTAACAACGACGGTGGCCCACTTATTACCCATGGAGAAATCAGGGCCTTAGATCCAGAAGCTCGAGTCCGCCGAAATATTCATTTCTAAGTCGACGCCTTGTAGGAACAACGACCTCAAAATGTCCATTCTGTGCTGTGTTTTAAAACAATATCTTACGGTTGTAAGTTATCGTTGTTTCAGGTATAACTCCGAAGCAACGAGACCTAACAGGTACAACGTATTACGAAGATATTCGAACATTTTATCATATTAAAAATTACCAGTAGACTGCGAATTTTAATTCATAAAGACAAGAACAAAAGTAGGAAATTCTTTCGTCCCTCTTATTGGGTTAATGAAATAGAAAATACGTTGCATCCGATGAAAGATTTATCTTTTACTGTATTTTACAGGGATCTACAAACGACAAATGTATAAAATCCGAAGTCTGATTGTCAGATTACGTGGAAAATTCTGTCGTTTCATAAGACACATTTTTTTAAACCAAATATCCTGCGGTTATTGTAATAAATAATATCAGTATTCCGTTTCGTGAAACAAGGACGAAGTTTGCACAGCAAGTGTGGGTGTTAGGCTGCCTCACGAGATGAAACACATTGCAGACTCTTCGGCGTCAGCAAACTGGTCGGCAATATTTGCGATGCTATCCTGACATTAGAGCTACTCAGGTTTTTAAAAGCAGGTTTATTCGGGCCTTCCTTGCGCATCAACCCATTAACACTAGAACTACCGACGATAAACGCATATTTGCTTCGATCGGTGGATAAACATGAAAAACTTTTGATATTTAGAAATTTAGAAATTGACTGATTTCTTCACTTTCATATCGTAATAAATGTGCAAAAGATCTGTATTGACAAGTCATTTTGACCACGGTCACGAACAATGTGCGTTGCAGAAGCCTCTTGAGAGGGTCGATTGTAACACAGGAATACCCTAGTAGCAATTACTGTTGGAATTTTGATGGGCCTTTAATGCACTATTGGTTGGTCAACAGTTAGAATCGTCACCCTTTTTTGCAACCGGGCCAACAATCATATCTAACATAGGGCCCACGTCACTGTATTACGAAGGAGCAACTGGAGGTTTCTTTCTGTAGGGCCAATTGTTGAGTATCTACAATAAACCAACAATAGTAAGACAGTTAGCTATACTACACTTCCATAAATGCTTTACAAATATTTGAAGGAGTGTAACAATAAAAAAAATATTTATAATAATTACTTGTTATAATAATTATATACATGTATAAATTGTATATGTATATTAAACAGGTAAACAAGTGTTTTATCAGCAAAGTTACCTTTACAATTTATTATGTACAATTTATACATGAAGCTAATTATTAGAAATAATTATTATAAGTTATTTCCAATCTTCTGTCCCCTGACTCTATTTTTACAAAATGTCAAATGTCAAACGTGTTGCGCGACAGTAAAAAATTGTGAGTATATTCATAAATAAGAAAACAAAAAAATCAATTTAAAATATAATAACAAGTCTTTGGTTGTAGCAACGTTTCTGATGTCTTTAAGACGATATTTGAATGTTGACAAACTTTGGGTGGGCCAATGTTGTATTATCATTTTAAATTTCTTGTTAATTAACCAACTATAATAATTGTAGGCCCAACATTGGATATTCGTTGGCAAATTGTCATAACTTTTACGTCGTAGGCCCTATTTTGGGAATTTGTAGGCAAAAACACTAACTATATCTCAACTATGTAACTCCCAACTGTTGGATACCGTTGGCCAATCATAAATGCTACTAGGGTAGGCGCGCATTGGTTTTTTCGACCGACGATGTTGTTTTGAAATATGATCTAAAGTGTTCAATTCTTGCTACTTTTCGCGAAGCTATTCCCATTTAAAGCATGATCTGTCTTATTTACGTCGCCAGGTGATTGAGGTGATACATTGTGCACTCGCACAAGTTTTAAAAAATAGCGTTCCAAACTCCAAAACCTGCAAAGCCAAATTTTGTCCAATGCCTGTTATAAAATTATGGCTACAAGTTTGATGCAAGATTTTCTATAAATAACTTGCGCACACATTGGCAGCAATATAGGCAGCAAATTGGCAACAACATATGCAGCAAATTGGCTTGCGCAAACCTTGTTCCGGTTTTGCTCTCAATTTGAGATACGCCATGTTGCAAGATTTTCTACCAACTTGATTTACCATTTTGTCATCTAGCGTTGCCTGCAAAACCCAAGCCAAATGCGGAAAAAGATGGCTATGATTTTTTAGACAATTTTTGTCATTTATTGTTGGCAATTTGCTCGAAACTTGTACACAACTGGTTATCAGGGTTGGTCTTTTCGACCATAGCGCGCCTACTCCCGGGTGAATGGGTCTACGCGCAAGGAAGGACCGAGTTATATTTACGGGATTTCGGCTGCGCGTGCTTGTGCTCGCTGTTGCACGTGTCCGGATCTGCCTTAATGAGAAGAGAAAACGGAAACAGTGGAATAGAAACTAGAAGGAAGTGGGAAATGCTGTAGAAACTGAGAGGAAACGAAAATTTTCAAAATTGAGAAACCTGGATTGATTTATAGTTTTAATCAAGATTACCAGGCAAAAATGTTTATAATTACTATAAATTAATAAATTGAGTTATTACTATAAATTACTATAAATTAATAAGTTAAGAATCGTTACGTTGCTCCAATGTACTTTGCAATTACCATTGATCTGTCAAATATTAGTAGACTGTGGATTTTATGCATTTATAGCATACAGAGGTATGTGGAATACAATAAATGACAGAAATTCGATCGAGTGTAATAAATTTCTTATTTTACTTTTACCTACTAAATCCCTGTGATAAAAAAGAATTTTCAGTTTCTACTCCAGTTTTTATAAATCACTTCATAAAATGACATTTTGCATAAAAGTCCGCAGTCTAATTTTATTAGCAAATATTTCACTGCTGTATTTTTTATTGCGATCCAGTGATTTTCAATATACACATATATAACAGAAGTTATGTAGGTATGATTACTATTTCCATTACAGAACTACAAACAATTTTGTGAGGAAATAGTTTATTCGTAAACACCATAAACGACGAAACTTTCCAAACCACCGTCGTAATTCTTCGAATCGAAGGACACAACACTGTTGCATAAACGGTTCGAGGAAGTGGTTGGATGAGTGTACTAAAAAGGAACAAGGTAGACAGTTCAATCGAAACATTAACCTTTAGACTGCCGGCATTTTTTCATAAATAAAAGGCGGTTGTTTTTGGTAAAAAATTTGTCTATGCATATAACATACGCACTGCGCTGAATTTCGAATTTTGTCAATGTCCCTAGAGGTATACTTCCGGCAGGCTACAAATGAAAAATATTCACAAAACAAGAGTTTTTACACCAATCTCCCGTCATAAGTTATGACTCATAACACATTACAGTCCCTGTCTATATATCTGTACAACTTCACACAATGCAATGCAATGTTCCTGTTGTATTTCTCCATTCTATTAGACTTTTATTTAATCAATTCGGACTAGAATCATATAAATATACAATGAGAGACAAAAGTATTCGTACACGGCCGATTCTAATTATCAACTGACAATGCTGTCTTCAGTATTAAGTTAAAATTACTTTCTTCTAGTTATTCCATAACAATCTAGTTTCCTGTCAATGGTATAGTATGATGGACATAATCATGAGCTTAGTGTTACACTCGAGACAATATTATTAATCGATAATAGGTGTCACCGGCGTATGAACACCTTTTTCTGTCTCTGTATACATATATAATAGCAGTAAAATGAAAACACAATTCGTTAAAACATCTCGAACCTAGTAGAGTATCAGACAGCTGCGATGTCTTGGTTCCGAGGAAGCACTCTCGGAAACAATGGCGGACCGTAATGAGGTAATGTTCAATATCCAATATTAGAAGAATACCCGCGAACAGAGAACAGCAAAGAAAGATCCATAAATCCCCGAAGAGATGTTCAAGTCGGTAAACGGTCAAACCGTAGACGGTTCGAGGAGCAAAAGGAAGAGA